AATAGAGAAAAAGAGGGGGGGGGGGGGGAGATAGGCGTTTGTGGGGGTGGGGTGGGGGGGGGCGGGGGGGGGCGGGGGGGGGGGGGGGGGGGGGGGGGGGGGGGGGATGAACATATAAATATTTTAGAGAGGATGATAATGCACTTGTCCGTGTTATAAACGTCTGAAAAAAGGTAAGGATCTCCGGATCTTAATCACCTATGAGCTTGGTAAAGGATTTAAAAAAAACGCCTTATACGTCTAATAATAAAAATTAATTAGAAAAACTTTGAGAGAAGAGTGACAACAAATTCCACACGAAAAATATTTGAGATTAATTTAATATTAATGGATTTTCCAGAATGGTAGCAGCTCAATATCTTTTATTATAAAAATCCACTACAATCCGTTTTATAAATAATGCAAAGACTTGTCCATGAACTTTTGGTAAACTGAATTTTTGGAGAAGGACGAAATGCGAACATTGTGACGAACAAATTTTTTTGTGTTGTCAAATAAATTATTTGTTTCATTAAATATATACAATGAAAAAAAATGAATAATAATGGGCGCGTATTTTTCTTATTGATTGATACTACGTAGAATAATAAGAAACAATCATATTCATATTCCATTTAATATGTTTTAGATAATTGATGATTTCAAAATAATAATTCAAAAACCTTATTGTCTGCTCATTATACAAGGTGTAATGAAAATAATGGCAGTGACAGAAAGTTCCATATCTCAGCTTGATTTATTTAAAAGTTCATGATATACTTTATTAAATAAAAGAAAAATCAATATCCAATTCTATCACTGCTATTTTCTAAAATTAGTTCACATGAAATTAATTGTCCGTAAGAATTTTTTGCACATCCAAAAATAAATAATATAAATATGTTGTTAAATAAAAAAATTGTAAAAATAGTAAATCATTTCATTATTATTATGAATGTGCTATTGGGAGGATGCAAAACATATATTCATTGAGGATATACAATGCATTTTCATAGCCTCGTTTTAAGGCGCACCATTTTATTGGCACTGGATGAAAAACTATGTGCCGTCCTACCTAATATTATTAGTGATTTTGACCAGATCTCATTATGCTGATAATTTTCACTATATGCAATGCTTCTTGGTATTGTCATTGTTGGCAAATTTAGTATCACGGGGCCACTCGATGGTTGGTGCAGCAGCTGCTATATAAGAATGTTGAAATTTATTAAGTATTAGTTTTGTAAGTAAGGAAAGAAAAAGATCAGTGTTAAGAGGGAATTTTATATTAAAAGGGAATTTCTAATTAGATAATTTAAATTAGCATATTCGATATTTATAATTGTATTCATTATGGATGGAATTTCCAATAGTCACAAGTATTTCGAATGGTTATCTTCTTTTTTTATGTTAAGTGACAAATATCAAATGTGTTAGAATAGCGTTGATCACCAAAACTATTTTGAAGAGGCAAAAGTCAAAAAACTAAAATTAAAAGTTATATGTCAAACTAAATCAAAAATCAAAAGTCAAAACGAGTTGTATATATAATGCTTTATGTCAACATATATTTTAAAAAAAAAATATTGGTATTTTTTATGCAAAACTTTCATTGAAATATACACAACTTTACAATTCTGGAATTCTTCAAAGATTTTACAAAATCCAAATTTTGTATTAGATGCTCCCTACCAATCAGTTATTTGCTACTTTGTTTCATTTGGTTTACTTTAATTCAGTCAATCACATGCAAATGAATTAAGAGATCTAGGTACACTGGTAGCTGTTTCAGTTGTAGCAACCATAATTCATATGTTGATTTGAACACCTTTAATTGGACATGAATGGCATTTGTGGTTATCAGTGGTGGTATCTTATCATTTTAGACTTTTGCATGTCAATTATATTGTCAGTTATAATTAATATTTTGTCAAGGTTTGTGGTAAAGTTATTGGCCAACTGACACTGACACTGACGTTATTTATAAAGAAGTTGTGAATATAGTAGCTGTGGAGGGAGAAATTTCCAATGACAACCAATTATCATTGAGTCAACAAACACATCAAATTATGTGATACCATCATCATCATCCAACAACATCTCAAACATAATTATCACAGCCATGGCCACCATTAGAACCTAAGCAATTATAGCCAGCAACAAACAGTTTTTATCATAAAGAAACAATTCAACTAGAAGTCATAGAAAAAAGATTTATTGAATTCTACTAATCAAATTGTTCGCTGTATTTGCATTTTCTGTTGAAAAGAGTATGTTTGAAGCACAATATCAACATTGACATCAACATTTAAAAGTAATTTGTCATTATTAGACGATTATCTAATCAAATAACCATCAAATCATAAAGAGAACTCTGTCAGTTGAAAGAACATTGTCAACATCATCAACTGCTAATAACAATAATAATGGATTTACATTGTCACAAGAAGAAAAATACTGATGTTAATATAATAATGATGATGATAAAATGGAACAAAAAGTAGTTTAATATTCATTGATCATGGTGAGCTTTTATTTACTTAATAGAATTTCTGATGTTGTATTTGTGTTTATTTTAATATTCCTATGAGTCATTAAATTTGTTTATTGTTATTTTAAAAAATTCTTTGATCTTTTAATTTTCCCAACTAATTAATGCCATCAATACCATTTTTATTTATTTATTTACTTATTATTTATTTGTTTGTTTGTTATTCTCACCATTGTTATTATTGTCAGTGTTATTTAAAGAATAAGCTGAAGCTCTAAACAATGTGTAGACAAGTCCAACTTTTTTTTCCATTGTACGAAGTTGATCAATTAATGTAATAACATCTGTAGTATTCATTTCAACAATCGTTTGATTGAGCTAAAGTAAAGAGTAAATATAATATTAAAAAAATATAATGGAAAAAAATTTTTTTTTGCAATAATTTATTATTAGTTATGATAATTACGAATACTATTATTTACCTTTTCAATTCCTTGACAAAGTTTTTCATATTCCAAAATAATTTCTCTTTCAAATGGATTTCTTAATGCTGATAAATTATTTATTGATTTTCGTGAAGTCATTTTAAAAAAAATTGGAAGACGCGACTGTTTTATTTGTAGATCACTTGTCATATCTAAAAATAAAAATTCGGCATGTGTAACGGTATTTTTAAAAACAAGCCATAATAAACATCATTAAGGAATATATTTTTATATCAAAAGGGTTCTCTAAGTAAAGCTACAACTATTCAAAAACAGTATTCCATTTTTACTACACCAATTGATTCAAATTGTCCAAAGTCCAATAAAATGATTGGACTGGCAGTTTTGACAACACTGCTCCTCATAATGATCCACAGAATTTATTTTCTTTGGCAAATATTTGTAATCATAAGTTAACTATCTATAAATTGGTTTAATTCCCGAGAGTCATTATTTAAAACTACCAGAACTATAAATTATATAATTAAATATAATATATAAATTTATTGGTTTAGAAAACTTCTAGAAATAAATAAATATAATATGACTCCTGAATATGCTGTGGTACAATTTCCCACTAAGTTAAATAGTAAAAATGTATGTTTACTTGGAGGAAAAATTTTTAGTATATTCAGTGGTCCTCAATTAATCAACATAAAAAGATTTGCTTAATATCACTGGTACTGAATGCTAAACCACATGTAGCACATTTACGATTTCGAGCTTCTTGTTGCTGACCCAGACACTCTTTACAAAAAATGTGCATACATTTTATAATGCAGTGGGATTTGAATCTAATAGAACATGTTGAACATTTCAATAGTTTCTAACAAATATAAATCATTAAGATTAAAGATTAAAGATTAAAAAAGAAAAAAAGAAACAATCAGTCAATCAATTTAAGTCTCACTAAAAGAAATTTATCATTACCTCATAACTATACACTAATTTTTCTGCTGTAACATTAGATTTATCATTATCTACTTCTTCTACTTTTTTCTTACAAATTTCTAATTCTTCATTTAGTCTCCTAACTTTAAATGTTTCTTTTTCATACGATTTTGTCAAATCATCATACCTTTTTTGAAGCTAATATTCATCATTTAATGTAAATATAGTAATATTAAAATATTAAATTTACATGTACCAAAAAAAAATAACAATATTAAAATAATATTAATATAATATTTTATTACATCAATATAAGAATTGTATGCTTTATCTATTTTTTCTTTCATTTCTTTTTGTTGTTGAGCCATTTCAATTAATTTGAGTTTGTGGACATCAACCACTTGTTTAGAACATGCTATTTCTTTATTGGCATTTTCCTAATAACAAAAAAAATCTCAATGATTACAACCTGTATCATTAAAATATATGTGTGTATGCATGTGTGTAATATGAGTGCATAAATTACAAACCAATTGTGATTTAAGATTATCTTCCAAATATTTCATTTGTCGAACATGATCAGTTTGACTTTGAATAACTGTAGACAAATGATTTTTCTGTTTTTTTAATGATACATTTTCCATCCAAATAGCATTCAATTTTTGTCTAGCTTTTGATTCCTAAATAATCATCATATTTAATTAGTAATTATAAATTTTGTTTGTAATGGATGTTGACATTTTAACCAATGGCTGAAAGTTTAAAAATAACATACAGATTCTCTTGCAATTTGCAATCTTTCATCTTGTGCAATAATTTCAAATACTTTTCGAGTATTTTCTTCATCTTGACGTGTCCAATGATCACCCAAAACTTGAAGTTCTTGTAATAATTCTTTCTCATTCTTTAAAAATAATAATAATAATTAGGTGGTGAGAAATAAATAAATAGTACTTAGAAATATATGGTTATAATATTAGTGTAATAATAGTAACAATGAAAATAAATATATGTTACTTTTTTAAGATAATCACATTCTGTTTCTAATTTTGAGATTTTTTTCATTAATTCCTCTATTTTTTTTGTTAGTACATGTATTGGATCACCACTTGGATCTTTTATACCATATCTTTTATCATATTCTTCTATTTGTGATTTTAACTCATCAACCTCTCTTTTATATTCAAGTTCTGAGATTTTCATTCTTTGATATTCTTGCATGCCTGGATGTGCATTGTTCATATAATTATCTAATTGTTGTTCCAGTTTTGCTCTGATTTCTTCTGATTGTCTATTTTTTTTTTTTTCAAATTAAATTGTAAACATGTATAATATAGTATTCCATAACTATTTTAGTATTAAAAATTTCTTTAATAATAATTTAGAAGAAAAAAGGAGAGATATGTATATATAGAGAGAAAGCTTTACAATACTTTAATCTTTCTTGTAAATGATGATCATATGATAATTTTTGTTGAATGAATTCAAATGTATCAGCACCTGATGCTATTTCATCATAAGAAAATTCTGGAGGTTGAACAGGATTACAATAAAAATCTGCAGCATCTTTGTTACCCTCTTGTGCTGCTAATTTCATATGTAGTCTTCGAACTTCATCCATCAATTGTTTAATTATAGTTTTGCGATCATTCGCAATCACCCTTAAAGCATTTATTTGATGAAAATCAGTAGGCAGCATTGCTCTTAACTTGTCCACCTCCATTGTCACATCATCTCTTTGTGCACGGATTCTGTCCAAATCTGTGAGAAGTTTATTTAGCTGTTCTTCTGCATCCTTTTTAGAAAGCTTATTTTCTTCCTGTTAATTATTTTATTTTAATTTAAATATAAACCATTGGTATAAAAAACAATATTTGAAAATAAACCGACTTGTATCTGATTTGTTGCTGAATTCCTAGTAGCTATCATCTTCTCCATTTCGCGACTATTTTGCTCCATAAATGTACGCAAGTAATCCAAATTTTCTTTGCAATGAAGGTATTGAAGTTGTAAATTTTTGTATAGTGATGATTCTATTACTCGAGAATCTGGAATATTTTTTATCTAAATAAATATATATATATAAATAAGGCCTTATATTAATGATTAATTCATTGATTGGTTTATTAACTACTTGTTCACGAAGGTTATTAATCTCTGTCTTTAAATTAGCCTTTTCTTTTGATATTTCTTCTACTTCTTTTAAACGAGACTCTGAAAGTGATTGAAATTGAAATAATTTTTCTTCCAATTGTTTTGACTATATAAATAAATCAAAATTTTTACATTAAAATGAGATGGATCTTTTTTCACAAAATAAAGTAAATTCTAGACAAAAAAACTCATGAACATTATTATCATTAGATTGTGATTCTTGCAAAGTTTGAGTTTTAACACCAGACCAATATCCAAGAGTAACACTCTTTGATTTATCCATACGTTTCTCAGCTTGTCTTAATTGTTCCTCAGTTGATTCTAATCTCTCTATCTTTTCTCCAAGTTGATTTTTTGTCATCTGTAATTCATCTTTAAGAGAATTTATCTTTTAAAATAATAAAAATAATATTTTAATAATTTATAATAAAATAATACTAATAAAAATAATAATAGTAATAATCATCATCATAAACCTCAAATGTCATAGAGTGAGTTTTTTCTTGGAGTACGTCAATTTCTTTATTAACGTGTATATAAACTTGGTTTAAATCTTGATTTTCTGATTGTAGTAATTGAATTGATCTATTTTCTCTTAATGTAGGATCATTAATTTCTCCTTGTAAATCTTTAATAAGATTATTTCTTTTTTCAATCCATAAAATTATTTTTTCTAAAAGTTGTTTTACAATTTCTTTGGTAATAGTACATTTTTCAATGATTGCATTTTCAATTTTCTCAATTGATTGGTCCTCATTATCAATTTGAGTAAGCCGTTTAAGAAAATTTGAATCACGAAGTTGTGCTTTATTTTGTTAATTAATTATTCCCCGCCAATAATGATAATATATATAAATTAATATTGATAATAATATTAATGCTATTAATTATATGATAAATAGTTAAAACGTTAATATTTATACCAATTGGAGGAGCTGAGTTACTGCTATCATCAACTCTATCAATAAGCATCTTCAAATCAATTAATAACTATCAAATCAATTAATATCATTAATATGTAAGTATATAAAGCACATTAAAAAACAAATATATTCTAATTAAACAAACTTGTTCCCAGTATCTATTGACAAGACTTAAATGCTTATCATAGTTTTCTTGTTTACTCTCAAGTTGTTTGCTCCATTGAAGTACACGTTCTGCTTCACGCTTGTATTCTTGTAGAGCACGGTATATAGCTTCTTTTTGGTAATTCTATATAAACATTTTTGAAAATATGTTAACGTTAAAAGATCTATTGTTTTTGCTTTGAAATAATAATAATGCCAATATAATTAATATTTTAGATTCCAACCTCTAGCCAATTGGAATCAGAAATATCAAAATTCATTTGTTCACAAAGTTTTTGAATATTTCTAAAAAATGGAACTATAAATAAGACACAAAATCATTGCGGATCAATCACGTGATAAAAATTTGGACAGAATATTAGTTTATAAACAAAGGTCATCTATCAGATTAACAAATGTCAATGATGCCCTTGCCATATGCCTACAAAAAGATATGAACACACAATTATACACTTATGTAAAAACTGGTACAACCGAATCATATGAAACCCATGTTTCAATATTTGAGATTAAAGCTAAGGCAAAAAGACTTTTTTACAAAATATGGTTTAATAACAATAGTAATAACAATAACAACGATAATATCATATTATCTCTCACAATATTAGCATGGTTAAGGAGTACACCAAGGACAACATTTGTAGTTTACAAATTAACAATAGAACACAGCAAATTATTAAACAATTCCTGAAATTTGGAATTTTATACTTGGACTAGAGATGCGATCCGCGGATATCCGTCATCCGTTCATCCGTCATCCGTTCATCCGTCATTTATCTCTAAAAATCAATCCGTCATCTGTTAATTACTCAAAAAATACATCCGTCGGATTTAAACGGATTATCAAAATTGAACGGAGCATCCAGATCAGGGTTGTGCAATTTCGCTGTACGAGAAGAATCTTCGTACGCACGACTGACTTCGTACCATTGAGCTCGTACAGTTTAGTTGTGGTCGTACACCTGTACGAGGAAATTTTACATATGTACGTACGTACGTACGTACGAATGTGCGAATGTACGATGTATCAGGAACGATGATTTTCTGCGGTGACAAAACATTACTTTGTAAAATCCTATAATAATATTATTATTATTAAGCCGATAACCCTATTATATAATTAATCAATTACCAGATGTTGTAACTGGAATCGTAATACTATTTCATTATCAGAAAAAACCTGATTATCATGTTATATATGCTTATTTAAATCCCTTGTTATTATGTAGTAGTATTATATACGTTATTATTATAGTCAGTGTTGTGCAATTTCGTTGTACGAACGTACGATGATTTTCTATGGTGATAAAATATTATTTTATAATAATATTATGCTGTCAGCCCTATTACTATTACGATTACTATAATTAAAGGTCGTAACAGATCGTAATACTACTTCGTTATCAGAAAAACCCTGATTGTTATATTATACTTACATTATCCTGAGTGCATTATTGTTAGTAGTATTAGTAGTATTGTTATTACCGTGATTCCTAAATTTTTTTTTCTAATTATTTATAATTAAATAAAAAAATTATCTTTACATTCTTGTTAATTATATTATCAATTCAAAATAATTAATAGTATTATTAAATATCTTCAATCATATACAGTATGTAGTTGATTCCACAATATAGTCAAACCTTGACACAGCGGATGAACGGTACACATAAACAAATTTTATTTAAAATCCGTTGTGGCAAGATTACTAATACTAAATACTAATACTAATCTTGCCATAGTGGATTTTTATATATTTTTACATGTGATATGCGAAGCAAAAAATTTTAAAAATCCGTTATGATAAGAGTTTGATTATTATTATAGTTCGTTGTGACAAAAGTTGACGAATTTAACATATTACATTTGATCAACCAATAAATCACATAGTATGTTCGTACAATGTACTAGAAAATTTTTAAGCTCATACGTACGTACGTGTACGATACGTGCATATGTACCCCAACCCTGATCCAGATTGTATTAGTGTTAGTATTAGTATTAATAAAATGTTACAAAAAGAGTAGTAATGCCAATAATTTACAATTCGTTTATATTTATTATAAAGTTAACACAATTTGCATTCCTTTTTAAAAACAAAATTCGTTTAAACAATTCTAAATCTAAACGTGATATTTTAGCAGTCAATAAATTCCCTGCAAGGTAAGTTCACTCTCATTATCATTACCGTCATCATTGCCATTGTAATTATATTCGTTATTATCATTATTCATTGTAAGTAATCTTACAAACTGGTAAAGAAGCAATGGAAATAAAAACATCGAAAAATGAATTAGATAAAGATGATAATAATAAAAAAGTATTATATACACGGATCATCCCGGTATCCTATAACAATAATAATAATAATAATTTCTAAAATTTCAATCCGCGCATTTTAAAAAGCTATCCGTCCGGATTGATCATCCCACGGATTGCATCTCTAACTTAGACAAAATCAACGCTAGAAAAATAAAAATGGGTGTTGGTTGGATACAAACAAATCAAAAAAATGAACCATTAACCTTCTCAGCATCAGTTGAAAATTGGCCTTCTTCAACAAAAACAGAGGTGTTGGCTATACTATCTGCACCACCTGTCACTCCACCTGAGAGTAATATTACTATTTTTAGTGACAGTGAAACCACTATAAAATTATTTGACAGATTTATAATAAAAATATTATTTATTATAAGGCATAATACAAGATACAGTATCTGAACTAAAGCGAAAATACCAATAAAGAATGTGAAAGCACATAATGATATTTTTTTTAATGAAAAATCAGACTATTTACCAAAATTAAGTTTGGACTCTGATCTGTTGGAAATCAAATACCAAATTTTAAGTATCAACCATCTTTAAATAATATAAAAGTTGAAATATCATTAAGGCTCTTTTTAAAAAATTGCTCAGAAGTAAAAGGCTTTTTAATTTGGAAGTAAAAAAAGTAGAAATATAAAATATGACAAATCAGAATAAAAACTCTAATTAGCTGGCCAATGACTTGGATAATATTAAATTTTAATGGTGAAGAAAATATTAAAACATCATTTAATGCTAGTAATAAAAAGTCCTTCAAGTTAAAAAGTTAATAGAGGAATTACCAATTATTGAAAGCCTTAAATTATGAAGTCCAGATCTATATAACAGTAATTGGAAGCGTTGCCTTTGCAACAAAGAAAATGAAGATTTTTCACACATTTGGATATGTGAAAAACAGAGAAACAATTAACAATGTAATTCAAGGGATAAAAAAAAGACCCAGTAAAGCAAATAAAAGAAATAAATCCTTTGGCTCCTGGAAATATGTTTGATGAGAAGACAAAAACCAAATCACATTCAATGATCTGATAAAAGGAACTATACCAAAAGACCTTTATGATCACATGAAATTTTATGTAAAAAAAGAAGAAAAAATTATGTAATGTCATGGAAAGTGTGAATGTTTTAATCAAAGAAAAAATATGGAAAGCATTTTGTCAGGACTGTCACACCTTCAAACATTAATATTATTAAAGAACTTATAAATAACTACCTCCATATTACAATTTATAATATTCAGCAAATGGTTTCCATCCCAACTGAAAGCATTGAAACCATCTTACATGAGGAAATTTCTGTCAGGAAGGTGTGTGCAAAATGGGTTCCTTACACTCTTACTAATGAAAACAAGCAAAAACAATTTAAGGTTTCAAAGCAATTGTTTGGGTACCTTGAAAATGGGTTTCGAAATATTATTACTGGGGATGAAACATGGCTTCATTCTTTACAGTTTCATCTAAAGATGCCAATGAGGTTTGGCTAAGCAAAGGAGAAAGCTGGCCACAAATTATAAGAATAGCTCAAAATAGCAAAAAACAAATTTTTTGCATTTTCTTTTCAGCTGATGGGGCTGTGGCAAGCATTGTGGTGGAGAAAGGACATACAGTCACTGGTAATTACTAATCTCCTGTGCATACATCAATCTTTTCAATCAAGAAAGAAATAATTTTCATTAATCATTAGAAGCACCTTGTTTTTTTTTGTTCCATTCTTCCCAAAAATTCTGTTTAGTAAGAGTTGAGCTTTCTTGGCCTTGTATGTTTTGTATGCTCTCTACATTCGTTCAGCTTCATTCTGAATATGAGCATGAGTACTTTCTATAGGACGTTTTATTTCCATACTATTGTTTTATTGAAAAATATAGGAAAAAATACATATACATGCAGCCCAAATTGGTTTGGTGATTTCAATGGTCAAAACTATTCCAATTTTGGTGGTAGATAGTAGAAATTAATTATGGCACTCACTGTTAATAACATAAGTGTAACCACCTTTATGACAATGTCAAAATACTTTGGGCTGCATGTATAATAATAATAGAAGAATATACTAAACAATGACAACATCATCAGTATAATAACAGTTTGATATTTTGGTAAAGATAGGTGTATTGATAGATGATTTGGTTATACCTTTTACTGCTGATAGATTTTTATATATTGCTACAGTTGGTGTCACACCTGAATTATTAATGTTTTTGAAAGTTTTACAAATGATCTTAATCTTTGGAAAAATTTTCTACAATGTTCATTTGTGTTATGATGGCAATTCTTACTTGGAATGAAGCATAAAATTTAAAAGTTAATTTCTTAAAATTAAACAGTTTAATATATAGACTAGGATTTTTTGTACCTTTAATCATTCATTCATTATCTTTATTAGTGCTTGTTTCAATAATATTTTCAGATTTGACTTGCATGTTTGAAATTTTTCTTGTCAATACAATATACGCTAGTCCTGGCACTGGGAAAACCTATTTAAAAAATTGCCTTCACTATTAATCTCAAGAAATTTCTTCTCTCACAAAAAAATATATACTTACATTTGATTCTTACATGTGGAATGATACTTGTTAAAAATAAAGTTTCACATTTTTTATATAACGTTTTTTATACAGATGGATTATTCTTATAATTTGTTTTTACTAATATTTAATTCTACCAACTGATGTCAACCATCGAAGAAGAGTTATTATTGACAGTAGAAGTCATGGTTATAAGTGTTGCTGTTTTATATAGAAATTATATGCTGATAAAGTTCATGGTGTTGTATTTAACAGGTTCACCGCACCTTTTAAAATTTATCATATTTATATTGGACTTAAGTTCAAATTGATCAACAAATTTAAAGGACCGGTAGATGTTAAAGCAACTTCCCTATAAAGGGTGTAGATAACTCCCAAATAAAAATTAAAAAAACAGTTGATTGATAAACTAATAATGACCTTAGCTTTAAAACTGAGTATTTTATATATAGAAATGGATCGTGGGTACACTGTATATAGGAAAAATATATGCTTTTCGTATAACAAAATTTTTTTATTGAATCCAAATTTTATTAGAATAAAAAAATTTGTTATAAAAATAATTTATGAATGAGAAAGGAGAGGAAATACAAATTACCAAATCTACTTTTTCAATTGATCAACAAGTCCGCATCAACAATAATAAACTATTAATAATAACGATATTAAACGTTATTCTTTCTTGGTTTTTTCCCTCTTTTGTTGCCTTCTCTGCCTTCCTTTTCCTTTTCTTTATCATCATATGATCTATTTCTTTTCCTCTTATTAATCTGAATAAATTAATAAACAAATGATCTATGAGCATTAAAATAAATGTGGTAGTAATAATATAAATATAATATCTTACTGAATTGTTTTCATTATTCAAATTTGACATTAAATGTTGTGATGATGATGATGTTTGTGCATTCGATGATGATGTGCCATTATTATGTCCTGTTAAAAGATTTGAATCTATCATAGAATTATCCATAAGGTTTCTTGTACCATTTCCATATGATAACGGTTCTATTATATTAGTCATGTCATAATATGATTGTCTAAAATATTAAATATTAAATAAAATATTAATCAATTAATCCAATACGAAATAATATATTTATAATATATTTACTTACATTGGTATGTGTTGTTGGATTTGATTGTCCATTAAAGCTAATGGGTATTGATTAGCGGCATATGATTTCAATTCCTTCTCTCGTTCTGCTGCATCTTCGTCAGTTTTCACTTTCTCAATTATAGCTCGAATATCTGACGGTATAATTTCTAAAATATCTTCACTTAATTTTGCTATCATATCCCTTGGTTTCTCTTCAATATATGTTATCATTCCTGGTGGTTCCATACGATGTTGTGGTATGAACTCAACATTCAAATATGTTGACTGAGTGTCATTAGGAAGCTGTACAATGTTTGTATGCGGGTCATAGTGGTATGGTTTTTCTTTCCTATTCACCTTTAACCGAGCATTATAATCTCTTACTGAAACTAACCTGTGCTGTTGCAATGTTGCTTCATCCAAGTTTTTTAATTTATTTTTGGGTCTCTTGAGATTACATTGTTTAGATAGAATGTTACAAACATCTTCATGATCGCTTATATCATCATCTCGACTTCTCCTACCACCGTGTACTATTTTTGTTCCAAAAATAAAATATGCCAACCAAGCATACACAATTGTGGCATTGCGGGACCTGGTAAAATGGTCTATCAGCCCTAATTCACATAAATAATTTTTCTCTTCATCAGTGGTTGGTAGTAACTTTAATATGGGATTTCTTAGATGTAGCAAATAACTGTCATTGAATCCCAAGGTACTTGCTACATCTGATGACAACATGAACCAGTCATCATCGCGACTTGATAATTGGAATACAGGGATTTTGAATTTATATCCTAAAGATGAAATATATAAATATTTTTATGCATATTAATTAGATGTATAAATATAAAATAAATATAGGTATTTCATTAATTGAATATTATATAGATATTATAAACCTTACCCTTTTTATTACTTTCATTATCCAAGGTAATAATTACCATCTCCTCATCGTCAACAGTCTCCTTCCTGACTGTTGGTTGATCCTTCAAAAATTGATCTCTTATTGATAAATTGTCCATTCGATCCTTATTACCATCACTGTCACTACCATCATTGCCATTACTACTGATATTATTATTACTAATATTATTATTATTACTATTATTACTATTATTATTATTATTATTATTATTATTATTATTATTATTATTATTATTATTATTATTATTATTGTTATTATTATTGTTATTATTACTGTTGTTTTTATTATTAATACTATTGTTTTTATTATTATCACCAATAGCATCACTGCCATTATCATCACTGCTGATATAATGAGTACTAGTAATGCTAGATTGTGAATTTCCATTAAGTTGTAAATTTTCTTCATTTGATTGTGGATATCCATTGAATTCTGAATCATTTGATTGTGAATCTTCATTTGATTGTGAATCTTCTTGAATTTGTGAGTCTTCATTTAATTGTGAGGCTTCTCGTATTTGGATATTTGAATTGCCAGAATTTGAAAAGCTTTCAGGATTATTTAAGGATTTTCCAGTGCCACTTACAGTTGTGTTGTCGTTATTAGAATCATTAGTAGCAGCATTATTTACATTTGTCGCAGCCACTTTGCACAGGATCTCCTTTAGTTCTGGAGTGATCTTATGAGTTGGGATTATTAATTTGGCCCTTGACCCAGAAGAACTGTTGGTCTTGCTAACTTTAGATTTTCTATTTGTGTTATTCGTTTTGCTTGTAGAGAGAACGTAATCGTTATATTTACTGTTGATTTTCACGTTTCTTTTCATCTTGAGTAATAAATGTTAATAAGTTGGTGTATTGTTGTTGATTATGTATTGACAAATTTGCAAATAACGAATAAGAGAATTGTTAATTCACAAATTATAAAAAACGCGTGACTTTACATTAAATTAAAAATGGGATTTTTTAAATATTCTATTGTCATACAACAATATGTAGTACGAAGGAAAAAAAAATCATTTCTACCTTTTTAAGCAAATGTTGAGATGCTATTGTTCTACTCTCCAAAATCTTTTTCTTCGGGTAAAGATTCTTTATATAGTTGAGAAAAAGTATAAAAATATTAGTACTTTACAAAAAAATTCATCTGCAATTTTTTGTTAATTAGAGGAAATGGTGAGAATAAAGGTGATGGATGACCTGTTTACCATTACTACAATTTATTATTTTGTTTTATGCATAATCTCTATTTTGTTATAAATAAGTGTGGCTTTGTTTATTTTATAGGGGTGGCAAAAAAGATTTGTAATAAGAATAATTCGAATAAAACGAATAAAATGAATAAAACGAATAACGAATAAAATGAATAATTCCAATAAACGAATAAAATGAATAATAATAACGAGTAAAACGAATAAAAACAGTAAACGAACTAATTGAGTTGTATTACGAATAATTCGAATAAGAATTTGTATCATGAATCTCAATTAGTGATGTGCCATTCATAGTAAACTTAATTTTTTTTTCGCATATAGTGCTAGTGTACATTGCATACGCATAATGTGTGTAGGACGCATTGTGAATGTAAAAATTATAGGTAATTGAAAAAAACTGTCTCGCAAACTATGCGCGAACTATGCGCGACACATTACTAATTGAGATTCAATAATAATAAAATTTTAGACGTTTTGCATTTCGTTTTAGTTCTCTACAAATATCTGAGCAAACATTATGAAATTTTATACAGTTAAGTCTCATTTCAATGGATCATAATTAAATTCGCATTACAACGAATTTTAAAACATATAAAACTAGCTGAAACGCAATTTTAGTGTAACGAATTTCAAATGCATTTCATGGATTCATTGGAACGAGGTTTGACTGTATGCATATATATTTCAGAACCTAAAAAGCATTTTTTATTAAAAGCGCATTATCGTTAAACGCGGAAACTTGAATTGTTCTCGTTTGAAATTTTTTAGTCTGTCATAATAAAATTATTGTTCTAAAATTAGGGATGTTAAATGGTTGAGTCGGTTCGGTTCGGTTTAAAAACCGTGTTAGACCGGTTTGAACCACGGTTTAAAACCGCGGTTTGTCGATCATATACTAAGATCTGATTGGTCAATTTTAATAACCGTTGTTGATCACATACTTTAAATATGAGTGGTTAATTTTAACAACGATTTTTAATATAATATATATACATGCAATACTTTTACTGTAAGCTCTGATAATTCTTTTGCAATTAAATTATGATGATTTTCAAATCTTTGATAAATTTGATTTTGTAAAGATTGATGTGTTGATAAGATATACCATGAATCAAAGATATTGCATAATTTTTTAAACCAAAAATTTCCTACAACTGAAAATGGCATTTGGAACCCAACAATAAAATTAATAACAGCATCTGTACATTCTTTTATTCTTTTATTATCATTTTCTTTATATGGTTTTTGTAATTGATTTGTCGTAGAAAGAATATTACTATGTTCTTTTGTTAAATGATCTATAAGTGGTCGTGTTGATGATTTTTTTGCATAATTTTTTTCACATAAACTACAAACAATTCCTATAACTTCATTTTGACTATTATATTTTTTATACATAAATTCCAAACTGCAGATGTTGTTTTACTTTTATTACTTAAAGATATATTTTCCATTGCAGGAGGTGAGCAAATATTATTAATTGAAGATAGACTTTCTATTGTAGAAGAAGAAGATGAGCAAATGTTTGTTATATTATCTAAAATAGAGTCATTGTTGTCATTGTCATCATCATTTTCTTGTTCTGTTAAATTTAAAGTATGTTGATAATCTAGATTATATTGAACATCTGTAATAAACTCATTAATTATATCTGAGTTAAATTGATTAATTTCAAACTCAGGAAGATAATTATTGTTGTTGTCAGAAAAATCATTGTCATTAGACATTATATGTAAAGAATTACTTCAAAAACGAATTAAACACTTTCTTACAAATATTTTAATTGTAGTAAAAATATTATTTATCTATTTATAAACAGACAGCTCATCTATCCAAATGTTTCTAAACTTAATAGTAAAAATAAATAAATAATTTGTTTGACTATAATGTTTAGACTATTTCTTATTTATTTTATTTAAAATCGTTACATTTATCATGATTAAAATTTAATTGGTTATTTATGTAAATCAGATCGACAAACCGCGGTTCAACCGTGGTTCAGCCTCAACCGCGGTTCAACCAGCCGTTTAACATCCCTACTGATAAACAATAATGAACTGTTACTGAACATCTTTGTCAACAGATATTGTAATAAAAGTACCATTAATTCCATAGTACTCAGACGTCGAGCTAAACATGTTTTCTCAATATCAAATAATTCAATACTTCAAGTTTTGAGACATACACCTGACGAAACCTGATGTAGTCACGTGATTGAAAACTAATGTTCTAATTCCATGAGTAAAGTTTCATCTATCTTCTTTTTGTTCTTTGATCTTAGTGAATTTGGTGAGAAGTATGTTATATTTGACAATGGTTCGGATTACAATGATGAATCAAAATTGGTTCTCTCACTGGATCATGAACATCAGCACATATCGCATTTAATGAAATTAGTTCAAGTATATTTTTTCAACATACCAAAGACCTTTTTTTTTTCGAGTCTCACGTATCACAACTTAATGTTGTGCAAATAAATAAATAATAATGTTTTTACTTTCTCGTAAATTTATGTATACAGTTAAACAATGCTTTTTATATAAAAGATAAATTGAAATTGATTCTTCATTTTACATCTTGCCCAATGATAATAAGTAAATGGAGTGAATGCCAACAAATGAATTCTATCCATACATCGCTAAGGTGACATTGGAATTTTCTTTTCACGCCATTATTCCATAATCGTTAGCTCCATTGTGGATGTCAATATATATGCGTATGTGTGTATTTATTTATTTATTTATTTTTCCTCATCGATTTGCTTTGTATTATTATGTAAGAATTTGAAATTAGCCAATCGGAATTTTGTACCTAAACACTCCATCCCAAAATTTAAAATTAGTAAATTAACACAATAAATTTCGTTAATGAATTCATGACTGATTCTGGATGATTCTCCCAAGTGAGCTCTAGTTGCGGTTGTAACCGAAATCTACTAGCCATTGACCAAATTGTAGTTTGCAGCTTAGTTGCCTGCAACCAATTTTTAGAATCAATAATCAATTATTAATTTGATGTGAATACAATATCAATTAATTAATGCACAATGTAAAAAAGCAAAAACTTTCCTGGTCCTCGTGAGAGATGAATTTATTAATATATTCACGAGGAACCAAGTTTAAATCGTTGAATCACCCAAGTAATAATGATATTAAGACCGTTCATAAACATGAGTCATTACATGCAGAGAAATAATGGAAAAATCAGAAACATCAGAATGATTGCAGAGTTTAAAATAGTGGCACATAAGTGACACTATTTTAACAACCATTCTCGATTTTTTTACGCAATTATTGCATGTTTCTGTATTTAATAGCTGGTTTATTATATGTCCGACTACTAAAATTTCCGGATGAAAATTTTAGCAAGTCTCATTTCATAAGCAGACATAAATATCAACGAATATTTTTTAACCTTCCAATTCTGTCAGGATATTATGTGAATTGGTCCTTAAACTTTCGTTTATTGATACTTTCGTTGAATGGTCAGTTGTTCGAAAACACCGAGAAGACCAATATATTATCCGCTTATAAAATCGTCAGGGGAAACTCCATCTTGTTATCCAAGTTGTGGTGGAGTGTTGAGCATCGTTAGAGTTGTACATTATGTGAACCAGAGCCCTTAAAGAACATTTTTAAAAAAATAAAAATAGATTTAGAAAAATCATATTCGTGTTCGGGATACTTGGGCAGAATTAATTTGAGATGAGTGTTCTTCCAGAATTAAGCTTTGTATTTAATAATAGTAGTATTTCCATTCCAAATAGAGTTTGATGATGATGAATATGACGAGGTTGTAATGAACTGTCATTATTTTTGAAATTTGAAATTCACGTGCATGAAATTCAAATTAGCCAATCGGCATTTTGTATCCAATCATCCATCCTAAAAATTTTCAAATGCACATGATTTGACTCGACACTACATTTTTTACATGTTGCCTCCCATATCGTCAATGAATGAATTCACTTATCTTCTGTCATCACCAATGTATAAACTATTTGTGGCAGACCATGTGAATATATCATTGTATTTGCTTGTTTGCTTACTGTTGTTTTTTTAAAAAGTAAGGTGCTGTTCGTAGTATCGATGCATCGAAATTGTTTTAGCTCATCTAATATTAGATTATTTGGATAGATTTTTTCGCAATCAAAACAGCCTTTGTTGGATGATATCGTTGTTTGATATTTCTTGAAGCTAGTATTTGACGTGTGAATTTTGAAAATTCAAGGTTCAGGTTAATTGAAATCGTGGCCTGCTTAGCTAGATAGATTTTTTATAACTGTCAATTGAAAGTTGAACTTTAGTAAAATTTTAACATTTGCCCTCTAGGTATGGATAGATCTGGAAAAATTAAAACTTCTAAATTTGGATTATTGTATTTTGTTTTCGTTGTCTAACCTTATCATTATATTTGTTGAACAACTTGGACTTCTCGGCTTTCACATTTTGTGACGTATTTTGCAAATCCTGTGGACGTCACATATTGAAAATTTATGTCTTAAAATGATATAAGATGACCATTCTGTTTTCTTGATTTATACAATGATAGATGAATCTTAATAGGTTGGACGGGCAATAGGTTTTTCAGATAACAGCTTGGAATGGTGATTTGATACTTCATGACCAAATCATACAACGTTTTTTTTCATGATGGATCAGGAATCTCTACATGGATCATATTAAATGAGATCAGCTCACCTGTCCTCTTTTCGTATAGGCAAAGCAATGCATGCGGATCATTCCATGGTTTTGAAATTTGTCACATTCGAAAAAATGTTCCCACTTGCCCCAACTCACTATCCAGGATCCTTCCACAACTTGTTCCAGACATTTGTCAGCCTATTTCAGTAGTGCAGTGTATGTGCAACAGGTGATTAAAAAACAGAAGGCTATCAGGGTAGAAAGTTTTATTACCTTGGAAAGAAAGAAAAATAAATACATTCATTGATGGATCTCCGAGTCTCTCAAAAACCGAAAATTCCTTCCAAGTTTATTAAAAGATTGCTTTTTTCAACATCTCCTCAACGTGCTATGTTGACTTCTTTGGCATGATCACATCATGATAAAAGGAGGATATATTATACAAAGTAACCCTTTTTCCATTTTGTGAAACTGCAAATTCATTTTTATAAATAAAATTACCAAAATGCATATTAATAAATCACTATTTTAAATTGAATATGCATATGTGACATCCAAATTTTAAAATGAAAACAAAATTCCAAAGAAATGACAATTGTGAGAAGTTATTAATACTTTTATATAATATTACTATTAATTATAAGTAAATAATTATCTATAGTCTCATTTCTCAACATTGTAATAATAAATAATTTTAATACATAGGATTTAAAATTCATCTAGTATATCTAAATCAATCTGTTGAGAATCTAAAAAATATTTATCACAAGAGTGGATATTAATATATGTTAATTTAAAATTAATAAATGAAAATAGTCAATTATTGAATGTTAATGATTACCATAATTATTACCAATAATTGTCACTTTATTGGAATTCACAGGTTGGGGAAGGCTTGTAAATTTTAATAATCTGCTAGTATAAACTGCATTTGGATGAATTGTTGCAGTAATTGTCAAAGGATCAAATTTTATTTTATCCATTTTCTTAAATTCTTTTTTAATTGATATTAATTTATGCTGCTCTTCTTTTGAATATCCTGAGTCCTTTATTCTATCTATTCTTTCAAATGAATTATTCCAAAAATAAAAAATCTTAAGAACTTCTTCAACAGTTGGACGTTTATCTGGATTAGCATCCATGCATCTAAATGCTAGTTCAATATAGAATTTTGGTGTATTGTTTGAAAATACAGGTCTTACACCTTCGCATATTTTCATTGCAAGAATTACATCATGTGCCAAATTATTAAATGGTTGCTGGCCAGTTGATACTACAGACATCAGAACTCCAAAACTATATATATCTGATGCTGTTGTATATGGTTTCTCCCTTAAAACTTCTGGTGCAACATATGGTAGTACTCCAAATATATCATTTTTGTTTGATGTAGATGTTTGAGTAGCTGGACATGATAATCCCAAGTCTGTAATAAATGTACGTTCACTTTTTTTATGTTGAAGAATATTACCACTATGAAGATCATGATGAACAATTTCTTCTTTATGAATATCTTTTAAACCATTAATAATATTATGAAGAATATTAATTTTCTGTTTCCATTTTAAAATTTTAAAATCTTTAGTTAAATAACTTTGAAGACTTCCATCTTCTATATAACTTATTATAAATATATATTCTTTTGTAATTGGATCCTGTGTTAATCCATAAATATGAATAATATCTATTTTACCATGAAACTTTATATAATTTTTGAACTAAAACAACAAATAAAAAATTTAATTACAATAATAATATTTTAAAAAATCTGAAACTAATATTAACAAGATAATTTACCTCATTAAGAAATTCATCAGAAATATTCTGTGAATCATGTAGTTTTTTTAATGCCACTGGCATATCCTTGCTGGTTCTTTCATTATTATGATAATCTATACTTTTCTCACCATTTAACCAAGTAGCTTTGTATATAGTTGCAAACCCACCCTCACCTATCTTTTCAATATTTGTTAAATCATCATAAGAAATCCACTGAAGATGATAATTATTATTATACTCAGTTGCTTTAAGTTGTGTACTTTTAATCAACCCATCTAATGTTTCATTGCCACTAGTCCATCCTTCAGTTAATAGCTTTGGATCACATGATTGACACCATATAAAATGAGTATTGTATCTTTTGCATGTTGGACATTCCCCATAATGTCTATATCTTTTCTTTGAATATTCATCATTTTTATCAGTAAAAGTATTGTCATGATGTTTATTTTTATTTAAAGTGTTTCCCATATGTTTATTTTTATTTAAAGTGTTTCCCGTTGTGGTTTTTGTAAAAAAATTTTTTTACAAATATGTATCACAAAAATATTAATTAATATTAGATTTACCTGAATTACAACAATTCAGCATTGACACCCTAAAGTCGTAAAACTGTAATAAATATTGCAAACATGCGATCAGAGTTATCGGAGTCACCAAATATGACAGACTAAATTAAAATCACTAGACACAACTATATGCTTGATATTCAAATAAGGGTTTATTCAAATTATTTGTTTTACTTGTTATGAATTTGAGTATTTGAATTACATTAAAAGTTTATTCAAATAAAATGAATAATGAATAATTCAATAATTCAATAATTCAAATAAGACAAATGAATGAATGATTCAAATAAACAAATAAACAAATAAAATAAATAATTCAATTGATAATTCAAAAAAAACTAAAATAAATAAACGAATAATAATAATTTGAATAATTCAAATAGTTTGAATAAAGCGAATAAACAAATAGTTCGAATAAACAATTCAAATAATAAAATGAATAAACGAAATAAAATGAATAATTCAAGCAAAACAAATATTTGAATAAATGAATGATGTCAATTCGAATAATAAACGAATGATGATAACAATTCAAATAATAATAAACGAATTATGTCAATTGAATGATGTCAATTCGAATGATAAACGAATGATACAATTCTAATGATGTCAATTCGAATGATAAACGAATGATACAATTCGAATGATAAACGAATGATCTCAATTCGAATGATAAATGAATGATACAATTCGAATAATAACAACAAACGAATGATGTCAATTCGAATGATAAACGAATGATAACAATTCAAATAATAAACAAATGATGATAATTCGAAGAATAACTATTCGAATAATAAACGAATGATACAAATCGAATAATAAACGAATGATGATAACAATTCAAATAATAAATGAATGATGATAATTTGAATAATAATATAAACGAATGATGATAATTCGAATAATAACAATAAATGAATGATGTCAATTCAAATGATAAACGAACGATGTCAATTCAAATGATGATAATTCGAATAATAACAATAAACGAATGATGTCAATTCGAATAATAATAATAAACGAATGATGTCAATTCAAATAAACGAATGATGTCAATTCAAATAATAATAATAAACGAATGATGTCAATTCAAATAATAATAATTGAATGATGATAATTCAAATAATATGTAATAATGATGATAATTCGAATAATAATGATAAACGAATAATAATAATGATAATAACAATAAATGAATGATACAATTTGAATAATAAACAAATGATGTCAATTCAAATGATAATAATAATAAACGAATGATTTGAATAATTCGAACAAACATTTTTATTACAAATAGAAACTCAACTCTATTTCAGAGTCATAACCCTTTCTAATGATTAATGGTTTGGCCAACATTTAAATCTTTAGTTAGAGACCCCTTTTATTAGTTTTACTATATTGCTTGTAGGGACACCTCAAGTAGTGTAGTTGTATATTTTAGTTTAGTTTGAACATTATTGTGCTAGATTTAGTGACTCAATCAATCATGCCAGATTTATCAATTAAAGAAAGTGTTATAAGATCAAATATTTATTTTTATTGATTAATTTTTTTTTCACTAAAGGAGATTTCAAACATATATATACTTCTTTAAAGTATTACAAATAACATGATTTTGTCCAATAAAATAAAATAAAATAGAATGACTAATTGACAATTACTAAAGTTAAATGTCAAAAATGTGTCATTGATGATGTCATGATTAAATGATACCTGATGAAATGTTTTGTGGCAAGAATAATTAACTTTTTGGTTTGGTGATTCTGCTTTTAAAATTTTAGAATGGGCTTTGAAAGTTTTAACATCTCCTTCTTCACCTCCAACTTTTATTTCTACATCTCCTTCCACCACGTTTCTTTTCCTTTTTTTATTGGTGCCAATCAAAAACGGTTTTTAAAGAAAAAATTAAATTTTTGTTAATTCATTGACAAGTACACAACTTAATTATTTAACTAGAGTAACGGCGAGTGACGGTAGCCACCACCACCATTCTCAAAACACTTACACGGGCCTTGTTGCTTCCGCAACATTTCTTTCAGCTCTTCTTTTATGATATGACAAAGCGTCAAAATTAGCCAATCAGATTTCTGAATTAAAATCAAAAAAAGAAATTAATAAAATGCAAAGCTCCGAACCCGACTAAGGTTTCTGGCCGAAACTCCCTTTATTAGTAGCCGAAATTGCCAAAACACTTGGGCAAAATTTACTTTTTTATAAGCCCAAACTATTTTTTGTTATTAGCCAAAATTGAGCGAAATTACTTTAAAGTTGTTTAAGTTAAAATAAGTTGATTGGTATAGTTTTTTAATAAAAAAATGCTGAGAAGCCCAAATTGCCCAAACTAGTTTGGGCTTTGAGAGAACAGTTTGGACCAGAAACCTTAAACCCGACCGAAATCCGAAAACTTTTTGGACTGTACCAATTATACTTGAGGTCAAATTATTAAATTGCATTGCACCACCTATCATAATTTTATACAACTGACACAAGATGCAACTCGTGATGCAAGTATCAATTCATGGTGCAAACATGATTCATGACAATTTATTAGCTAACAAAACCTTTTTGCTATGAAGCATTGGTGTTACATTAAAAATTAAAAAATTAAAAAGTTTTCATGCAATAAATAAATGTGGTTAAAGTTTGAATTAATTCATACACACATCATGATTATGTTTTGTGTAGCGATGGTGGCTGAAATTATTTTAGCAAATCTAAAATAGTTTACATAGAAATTAGGAATTTAGGCTCCTAAAATAGTGACTAGCCTTGTGTCTTGAATTATGCCTTGCGTCTCGAATTTCTTGAATTACGTCTTGCGCATCTTGCTAAAATTTAGGCGAATAAATTTTAAATATTATTTATTACTCGGGTGATTAATTGTTTGTTATGTCAAATGATAACATCAAATGTATTGAATAATCATCATAAGTATTGTGGTAGATGTATAGTATATGGAGGTATTCGTGTTCAAGGAAAGAATAAAAAGCCAAGTCAATGTTTATTTCTTATTTAAATAATGTATATATTTAAAAATATTAAAATATACGATTAAAAAATTTCCAGGGCAATTCCATGGAATCCAAAAAACGTTCACGTTTAAATAGATACGAATAACGTTTGCTATGACATGGTTCTTGCACAATTTCTCACCACCGCTATTACATTGATGATTATTAAAATTTAAACTTGAAATTCTTGGTAATACAAATGTTCACTTTGTCGCAACATGCCTCATATATAATGATTCTAATGAGTATGATGAATGTGAAAAAGCAATAGAATCAGGTCGCACTTGTGGTTGGCTCCAAAGAATAGCTTTGCAGAATTCGTGAATCCTTTCAAGCTATCTCTAAACCAGAGCAAGATATCTTCTTAATGGCTCGACTCAAAACCATGGATATCGGATCATTAAGCACTAGTAGATGCCTTTAAAAGAACCTTCTATTACTGGAATCATAATATACTTTCTTTGTCAAGAATTAGTTTGAAAATATCATTTAGTAAATAATGGTCTCATATCAAGAGTTAACAAAAATGGTTTTTATGTAAAAAGTCCATGGGTTACCAAACCCAGGAAGGAATAATTCGATCACTTATATTCTTACCGGCAGAAATGAGTTGTTAACCGGCTCATATAGATTTCTTTGCACAGAAGGTATCATCAATTAACTCCTCAGATTCAAACTATGGGTCCCAGAACAGATTTATTTTCGAAATAGCATATATTACAATGTTCACGGCCAAATAAATTGCTAAATATCAAATAAATAAATTGAAAATTTTTTGTGTTTCATTAAAATTTCCACAAAATTTTCCATTCATTCCTTATATAAATTTTCAGTTTTCTATAAATAAATTTTAAATTTATTAATTTTGTTTTTTAAAATTTTTTGTGAGTATTTTAAACAAAAATGTACTTGAACATTCTAAAAAATAAATGGTTTTATTTAATATGAAATAAATTGACCTTAAATTTGCGAATAAATTGTTTATTTATTTACTATATATTTCTTTTTTTTTAAAAAAGGTACGCGTGCGTACATATACATATTATTCATAAATTACAAGAAAATATTTTCAGACAATCAATTAGGTTGAAATAAATAGAGAAATTAATTATATTAGTAAACATAGAATAATAAATAACAAGGAATAAAACATGGATAATGGAATAATCTATCATTTAGAAAATTCGGAGCAATTTTGGGATAGTTAGTAGATGATTAATATTTCTTAATTTCATATTCACGTTCATTGAAAATTTTGCATCTACTTTTATAATCATCTTTGATTCATTGATTTGTTGATTTATTTTAATTAATTGATCAATAATTAATTGATTTATCAATAATTAATTTATTTATTTAGAATTAGACGACATTCTTGCTCAAGGTGAATATAAGATTCTGGCAAAAAGCTCCATTGATGTATATATTAGTTTTATTGTTAATTTTCAAGGTAAATCATCAAGAAGTTTTGCGCAGAACTTGAAATTTTTTTTTAAATCTAACTAAACTAACTTAATTGATTAAAAAATTTTTTAGACAAATATCTAGAAAACAAGATGGATTATACACGTTGTTACTATAAATTATTGGATTCACAAATGTATCAAATGTTTCCAGAAATAATATTGGAACGATTAATAAATAAATCATTAAAACATGACAATATATCATCATCATCAAAGGAATTGTTTATCATATTTAACATTTTACTTTTGGCAGGAAAAGAAGACTCTAAAATATTTAAAATGATTATTAACAAAAAATCATTTAATTTTATTGATAAATTAAAAAAAGTTATTTATCATCAAAAAGAAGAAGAAGGTAATTTAGACCCGAAGCTATTATAATTATTGCTATCAGATATATATATATAAAGATGTTGTATAATCTAATATGTTTTTGCATATTTATTAGGAAGAGAACTACAACTTATTACAATAAAATTATTCTTTGAAATTTGTAGTGTTCAACCTTTGTCACAAACTGAATTAGGTAAATTCCAGAGTTTAACCACATTTATCATTAAAAGTTGCAGTATACTTTTAACTAATTTAAAAATTTCTTTAAAAAGGTATGATCGATGAATATCTCTTAAATCATTTGTTAGATTTAGTGGAGATAACAAGAGATGAAGAAGATGAAACATTCAATTATTCAATTATTCGTTTAATTGTATGTTTTTTAGAAAAAATGATGTATAATTATCGACAATGATAAACAATTTTTATATATATCTTTTTTTTTTTTTTCATATAGTTATCATTTAATGAACAATTCATGTTGTCAAAAAAATGCAATAATAATATTGTTGAGGAAGAAGAAACCTTGAATCCTAACACAGTTATAAGAGTTTTGAGTAAAAGGATTGGGACAAGTGAAACATTCGGCGAAAATATAATATTTATGTTGAATCGTTCAGGTAATCAATCGATCAATAATTTAGTTATTATTTTTGATAATAATTATTAATTTTTATACAATTGTCTTTAAAATAAAGTTAAACCACATATTCAGATGCTTATATTAAAATTGTTATATGAGATATTCACAACGCCAGAAACATTTGAATATTTTTACACCAATGATTTAAGAGTATTGATTGATGTGTTTATTAGAGAACTTTATGATTTGCCTGATGAAAGTGAAGCGGTAACTATTATTTATCCTTATTATAATTATTATCATTTCAAAGTTTTTTTTTTCTCTCCCACTTACTAATTTCTTTAATTATTATAGGTTCGACACACATATCTTCGAGTTCTTTATCCACTAATTTCCAACACTCAACTAAATAGAGATTACTACAAACAAAATCAAATATATAAATTATTATTGGATTTGAACGGAACTTCCACAAAAAATTTTAAGCCTGTTTCACCTACAACACAAAGATTGGTTGATAGATGTTTATTTACCGATTATCTAAAAGGAATTTCACCAAACACTAATAATAACAATAATCACAATCATAGTATTAGTATTAATAACAACAGTAGTGGTAGTATAAATAATATTAGTAGTAACGATATTAAGAATTATAATAAATATTATTACCAAAATCATGAAGAAGAAATTAGACTTGTACCAACCCCCAATGCTTTAATGATAGGGATGGATAAATCTGATTCAATTGTTGTTGTAAATAACGATAATATTGTTATTAATAGTATTAATAGTATTAATAATAATAATGTTAATAATGTTAATAATGTTGCTAGTCATCAAGAACTTTTATTGACTAATTAGAAATTACAATTTTCAAATTTATATAATCAATGTTTTAAAAAAAACTTTATTTACAAGTATCCTTATTCAACTAATTAATTTTCATAATTTTTTATTACATATAAATCATTAATAATAAAATTACAATTAATTAATTTTGTGTCTTCATAAAATACCTAAAAAACCATATAATAATCATAATATACCCCATATTAATGTGGTATTAAAAATCCATATCCGCTCTGGCATCATTATGCCATCCAATTCCTAAATCATTTGGGATTATGGCATCCCAAATGTACAAAGTAAATAATATCCTTCCTCCCTATCGTATGATAGATATTCTTTGGCGTATTCGTGTTACAATAAGGTCAAAAACGACAAAAAAAAAAAAAAATTTTTACGCGTTCAATATAATAATAAAACAAAAATTATAATGTCAATTAATATTAACAAAATTTCGACTATAGTCAATACTATCAAACTTTATTACAATTCTGATTTAAATTGTCAAGCTACCATTGGAATTTTGTCAAAATGGTTAGAAGCAAGAAACATTATCGTTGCCACTGGTAATTTACATAGTATTTTACAAGCTCATTCGGATGAATTTTTGTTAAGTAAAGCTGTTGGTGCCGATAATATCACAGTTAAATTGAGAACCCGCAACAACAATGACAATAATAATAATAAACCCATTATTGATGGTGGTGGTGGTGGTGGTGGTGGTGGTGGTAATAATTTTATTAATACTATTAGTAATAGTGGTAATATTAGTAGCAGTGCACAACTCGACAGTAGTTCTGAAGATTTAATAAAATTTGATATTAGTGATGATGATGACCAGGAAGAGAATGATCCTATTATTGTAGGAATAGGTAAACAAGAATTTGGTATGGAAATGAACCAAAATCGGTTAAAAAAAGAATTTCGAAGAAATCAACAGTTACAAAAGCAAAAAAACAATCATCTTAATCATTGTCATCAAAAACAAAAATTTTTAAATGGAATAACATCAAAAATAAATAAAAAAGATATTAGAGCCATATCAATGGCAAGAAGTTATCTGGATAAACATTTGGTTGATTCTACTTTTGAATTAGAGAGACATTTAAAGAATGCTGACGCACTAAGTCCATCAAGAAATTTCAAAAATTTTCTAAATGAATATGATGAAATTTTCTATGTTCATAAACAGCGAGGTATTAACTGTGTTCAACTCAAAAATCCCTCAAGGAATTTTGTCAATAAAAATATTAAGACAATGATTGATGTTAGAATGGAACAAACTGAAAATCACATTAGAGATTACATTCAACAAAATGACACATCAGATAATCATGTAGTGAGTACTGAACTGATTATATACCTTAGAGGCATCAAAGGTACAATCACATACGACCTTAAAGATTTTCTTAATAATTGTTCTGATTCATTCGAATGTTATGAGAATGATGGCTCATTTTTTGTAAAAAATAAAGCAAAAGCATCACAGCCGATCAATCCAAGTGTGTATCATAGTCAATACAGATCAAGCAGTCCTTTTGTATCCAAGTTAATTCGCGATTTGATTGTGAAAGAGTACATAGTCACCTACTTGGAACTTGAAGAATACATCAAGAAATATTCACAACTACAAAAAACAAATCTTAAAGAATTTTTGTACAGCAATGATAAAGAGTTCAATATAACTATAATTTCTGGTGAAACTTACATCACACTCAAACCCACTGATAGAAACATATTATTTCATATTCGTAGATTTCTTTTGGAACATGGAAAAGTTCAATTGTCATTGGTTGGCAGTTATTTGAGACATATGTATCTTTCACCAATAGGCAAATTAAAAGAACTCCTATCAATATATTCAGACTTTAAATTTGATTATAAATCTGAAATTGTATTTGTCAAATCACAAGAAGCTGAAATCATTAGAGCAATTCGGGAACTTTTTGCTAGCAGTGATAATGTTGACAACAAAAAAGAACTTAAACTTACAGTTATTGCTGACCACCTTCATAAAAAAAGCTTAATACCAAATAGTAGACTGTTGAATCTTTTAGAAAGCTATACAGAATTTGATTTCTATCAAAGTCCAGTTGACATTGTTGTAGTGCACAAACCAGATAATTTTTTACCTAATCTAAAATTATTCATTCGTAAAATGATAGTATGTAACAATGGACAAGTTGAGTTATCAACATTGTTTAGTATTATTAATTGGAAAGGTGATTATCCAATTGATAAGTTACATTATTTTATTGTACAAAGCAATGAATTTGCACTATCTAATGTTTTTAATAGAGTTAATAGGATCATGACTGTTGTAAATTTTAAATCAGCCAATAGTTCAACTAATGATAACAATAATCATAACAATAAGGATAGTAATAGTAACAACAACAATAATATCACTGAGAAGGGAATTGATTTTATTAGTTCAACTGGTAAATTGCTTCCACAAATAAAATCTCATGATCAATTAAATAGGAATTACAATAGTTATAACTCAACAACATCATCAACAGTGAAAACTACGCCTAAAATGTTACAATTGACACCAACATTAACAACATCATTATCATCGTCATCATCATCACAGGTAGCAACAGGAAATACTTTGAACACTAATCAAAATAATCAAAATAATCATAATAGTACCACTAATCTTACTGTTGATGATTGTAATACTAATAACAACAACTACCACAACATCAACAACATTATTAATAATAAAGATGCTCTAATATTAGTACCAAATAGTACAATAAAAGCCAATGGAATTGATCAAACATTGTCATCTTCATGTTTTTCTTCAACAAAACCAAACAATATATCTTTGACAACAACAATGACAAAACCAGTATCATCATCAATTACTGATCTTAACACATCAACAAAACAGCCCAATTCTGAACCTGATTTATCAATGCCACCACTATCATCAATAATAACAACAACCTCATCTACTCCTAAGAGTCTAACAAATAATTCTTTAGATTCAACCATTAAAGTTATTGACAATGACATTCATACTAATAGCATTATTGGTACTATTTACACCAATGGCACCAATGGCACCAATGGTACTACTAATAATAGTACTACTAATAATGGTATTAATGGCATTGACACAAAAAAGATAACCTTCACAACATCATCATCATCACCATCACCATCACCAACATCATCATTAACATCATCATTTTCATCATCATCATCTTTTTCTTCTTTTCCTTCTTCTCCCTCTTCTGAATTAACATCATCTCATGATTTAATTTCACAAATAAGTCTGAATGATGCAAAAGAAATACTTTGTGAACACTTAAAAAATCAAGAAAAACAATTGTTTTCCAGTTTTAAAACTGTTGAATTGTGGAAAAATTATTTTGTGAAATATAAAGGAAAAACTGAAAATGAGATTAAGGTGCGAGATGAGGAAATTAAAAGAAGTCATCAAGAAATTGAGAATCTAAAGAAAATGATTGCCAGATCAAAACAATTTAAAAATTTATAATGTAATTGGTATAATAATAATTTGAAGACTTGACATTTTATTTTATTTTTCATATTACTACCAATAAAAAAAATAGATGTTCTTTTTCCCACAATTTATGATTTTAATGTATTGATAAATCATATAATAGTTGATTCTAAAGCAGTAAACATGAATATGAATCTAAGGCAATTAAGCATGACTCATTACAATAAGTAAATTGAGTGATATCTGAGAAAATTACATGTGATAACTTGATAATTTCAAATTTTTGTTACCAGTGCATTTCAATTGAATTTATAACAATAAAAGTTATTTATTGTTCATGTGGTACGAGGAAAGGTTTGAAAGTCATTGTCTTTTTTGGTAGTTTGAACGGTTTTTGAACCACGTCACACGAACCCTTATTAAATTATGGTGCTAGGATTATTGTGCTTTTATTAATTTTTGGGCAAAATTGAGGATAATTCTGGCCAAAATTAACATTATCAGAAAAATCATTTAATTTTTTTTAATTGAATCTTCTTTTAAAGCTTTTTATAATTTGAAAAGGACCTTTCTACATCAACACCAGATGTAGGCAACCAAATATATTTTAATGAAATTGAACTTAATGTTAGTAATATATTTGTTCTTTGGTTCCAATAACTGCCTAAATCATCAAAATTTTCATAGATTTCCCATTCATATATAAGACCATTTGTATAGTCAGTGATTTAAAATTCCATGGTTCTCCTTTGGAATTATAATTCAAATCATGGATTATTTTTTTTATAGGAGCATTGATGATGCTACCTGCTTTTTAATTCTTTCTTTATATATAAACTTCTTAATATTGATCTTGATTGAAGGATGGCATCTGATCAGGCGTAGTGTCAATTGATGTTGATTAATTGTGTAAATAAGTTTGATTCAACATCAATCGGGTATTAAGTTAGCATAAAAAAGGAAATCAGATACAACGATTTGTTATCTTTTTTTAGTTTAGGAGCAATGATTGTTTACAATTGCTGGCCAATTGCATTCTTTTTTTTAAGAAAAACCAATTTTTGGTATTCTCAAGTTCAAACGATCAATAAAGAACCTTTTCTCTTCTATGGAGAGGTTCTCCTTTTGTTGAGAGAAAAGATGGTATGGAAAATTTTTGATTTTTTGGGAACCATTTTTTTTTTTGTAAAATATCAAGTTCTTTTATCTATTCCATATTTCATCTCTCTGCTATTAAAAACAGTCTTAGGAAACATAACTATAGAAATAACTTTATTTAGATAAACTTTGATTTTATCTGAGGATAATTATAGATATAGAAAGCATTTGCAGAAATTGCAGACAATTATGAATATTAATATGGAAAATATTTGCGGACATTGCAGACATTTAAGACATTTCCCACAGTGTTGTAACATTGTTGCAACATCAAGAGTTGCAGCATTTTTGATCCTTTTTTCAGATAAGCTTTCAGTGCCTGAGTATCATTTATTTTAAAAATACAAGGAGCAATTTTTTATAATCATGTATTTTTCCGCAAAAATATCCGCAAATCGCCAAATCAATTTCTAAATAAGGATAACACGCACCCAACCCACCAATAAAATTGGATATTTTCATGATGCTGCGCAAAGTTGCGGATATTTTTGCGGAAAAATACATGTTCCTTCTTCAAAATACTTCTAATGGTGCTATAATTCTTGGGTTCCGTAATAGATTTGATGTAAATGAGTTTCATATTACTATTTTTATTATTTTTATATGGGGTCAGTTCTATATATCACTCGAGATAGAAAATGGGATATTATAAAACTGTTAATTATGATCACCATTACAATTTTGATCCCTGAAATTTTTGGTTATACAAATGTTCACTTTGTCTGGTTTTGTTGCAGCATGCCCCATATATATATATTTGGTCAAAAAAAAAAATAACTTGTACATGCAATTTTTTAATTAAAATTCTGTTGAACTGTATGTTGTACTTTATAATCTATTTATGTAAATAAAAGATTGTATTTATCATAAAACTTTGCTCATAGGTTTGGCAATTTAATCACAATTTAGGAGTTTTGCCCACAGTTTAGGAGTTTGCCCATAATTTAAGCAATTTTTAAGTTTTCGTCATTAAGAGCCAAAATTCCTAATTTCTGTAGGCGAAACTATTTCGGATTTCCTAAATAATTTTGGTCGCTATCATTATACAAGACATAATTCGTGATGTGTGTATGAATTAATTCTATTTATTGCATGTAAAACTTTTTAATTTTTTTAATTTAATGTAACATCAATGCTTCATAGCCAAAAAAGTTTTGTTAGCTAATAAATTGTCATGAAACATGCTTGCACTATGAATTGAGATTTGCATCACGAATTGCATCTTGTACCAGTTGTATAAAATTATGATAGGTAGTGCAATGCAAAATTTCGGGATTTTTAATTGCAATTTAATAATTTTGACCTCAAGTATAATTGGTACAGTCCAAAAAGTTTTCGGGTTTCGGGTTAAAATTTTTAAACTCGAATCCGGCCCGAAATGAGCCCGACCTGAAAACTTTCAGGTTAGCCCGGCCCGTTCTGAGCTTTACCTTTAGCCATTAATTTTCAAACTAAACTAAAATCACTATATACAACTATACTGCTTGATTAGGGTTTCTATTCGAATACGGTTTATTCGAGTTATTTGTTTTATTCGTTATGAATTTGAGTATTCGAATTACAAACAATTCAAATATAAATGAATAATTCGAATAAAGTGAATCATTCGAATAAAGAAATAATTCGAACAAAGCGAATAATTCGAATAAAGGATAATAATAATTCGAACAAAGCGAATAATTCGAATACGAATTTGTATTACGAATAGAAACTCTACCCTATTACGAAGTTGTCAAATCTGGCACACAAATAAGATATTACATTTACCTGGCACACGGCCAATAATGTTCAAACTAAACCAAAATCATCATATACAACTATACTACTTGAGGCATCCCTACGTGCAATATAGCAAAACTAAAAGGGGTGGGTCCCTAACTAATAATTAAATGTTAGCCAAACCATTTAATCATCAAAAAGGGTTATTAATCAGTCAATCACACCAGCTTTATTAATTAATTACAAGGACTATTTTTATGTAAAAGTGATATTTTTATCAAAATGTTAAGATATATTATATTATTGAAAGATCAATTATTGATTAATTTTCACTGAAGGAGGAGGTTTCAACTAACATGACTTTTACATGATTTTTGTCCAATAAAATAAAATAAAATAGAACAATCATAAATATTTAATGAATTGTCTAAAGATCTTAGGATTTTTGGTAAAAATCATTACTGCTGCAAATTTTGATGAAATAAAGAGTCTTCGATGTTGGTTAATGTGTGGCATATGTATTGTTACATTTTTGTATCATTACAAAAAAAATCATTGTTTGAGTTGTGTTACTTATTATTTACATAATGAACATCATATGGTATCGAATAATAAATCAAATAAGGACTATTTAACTAACTACCTTTTATTTTTAAAAAAAAATAAAAATTATTTATTTTCATAATTTAAAGAATAAATAATTTATTATTTTTTAATAAAATAATAATAACAAATTTACACAACACACATATGGAACAATCAATAGAGGATACTACTCTCACATCATCGTCACCACAAAATGAAAGACCAAGCTCAATAATATCCATTAATTCAACATCTTCTACTTCTGAACGCCTAACGCCTGCAGCTCGTAGGCGTGAAGCTAGTAGACAAAAGGATCGAAACAAAGATATTGAATTTGCTACTGAAATAGGCCAAGGCTTGTTATTAGAAGTCAGACGTCTACAAGGAGAATTGCATGAAAATTTGGAAAAGATTAAAGATTTAGAAACAAATAAAGCTGAATTAGAAAGAACGATCGAAGCACTTAATAAATTACTTCGTAATAGCAAAGAATCTGAAGGTAACTTTATTATTATTTTTATAATTATTATTGGAAAAGTACTATAGCAAAAATTGATATTGATGACACATACATATTTTCTAAAAATATGATTAAAATCTTCTAATTAGCTTTAGGAATATATATATTTAGTTAGATATTATTTTTAACGAGAATCATTTTTTAGCTTATTAAACAATACAAAAAACATTATATAGCAGTTGGTTATTTATTAAATTAAAATTTAAACAGAACTAAATTTTATGAGTAGATAATACTCATGCAAACACATATACGTATGTATGTATTGCAAACAAATCATATATTAGCAAAAATTCATTAACAAGTACTTTTCAGTTTGAAAAGTTAACAATACTATTTTCATTTGGTTTATTATGTGGTTATTTAGAGGAAGAGAAAAGTAAAGAATGACGTTTTTATATTAAAGCAAAATTTCAGATATTAAGATTCTATATATTCACATTTATATACGTACATTATTTATTTATATTATTATTTTCAACTTTCTCCCTTAAAAACTATATAGAAAAATACAAACAAGAAATATTTGATTTAGAGTTAGAAAAACAAGAACTAACATCAAAAGTAGAAGAACTTCAACAACAACTTGATAGAGCAAAATATGAATACTTGAAAATAGAAAAGGCATTAGCCACTGCCACAGATGTGATTGAGCAATTAAAAGATAAACAAGACAAATTATCAGAAGCTCTCGATAATTCAAAAAGTCGTCATGAGAAAGATATGGCCAATAATAGAAGACATGTAGCTGCTCTTAAACGTGAAAAAAGTGATTTAACAAAAAATTTGGATGAACTTCAAACTCAACTTGATAATTTATTAGCTACAAAAAATTTAAGAAAACGTGGCCAAGATGTTGCAACTAGTGTTGATGGTGAAACTGATTCTAGTGATCCACTTAATTCAGGTGCAGCGGGAGTATCGTCGACATCATCAAGTACTTTACCAGGCAGTAATTTAGGTAAAGATGATGTAATGAAAGCTCTGGATACTGCAAATAGAATGATTTGTGGTTTACGAGCTAACCTTCAAAAAGAAAAAAGCGAAAAATATGAGCTTAAAAAATTGTTAGCCGATAATCAAGAACAAATTGAAATTTTACAATACGAGTCTGAATTCCAAGGTGGAGCAAACGTAAACGGTTCAAAAAATGCTCAATTTAATGGAAAAGGCGGTGATGACGAGTATGATGATGAAGATGATGAGTATGAAGATGGAGATGACAATGATTTGGCAGATGGAGATGATGGAGATGATGGATTTAAAAATAATCGGCCATCATCTGATATGTTTAAAGAGAGATCCACAAGCACTTCAACAATATCAAAAAAAGAATTTAAAAGTGTTGAAGTACAAACTGAAGATAAATCCGCAGGTATTTCAGGAACAGAATTTAGAAGTGTTGAAGTACAAACTGAAGAAGTATCTTCATCATTAGAAGATAATAATACATCTTCAATTATTAATAATAAAGGTAAGTTTATATTTTATAAAAAAATACAGTATAGTGATGATGATATTATTGTTATTATTGTTATTTAATAAATTATTATATATAATAACAGATTTAGAAGCACCATTAGAAAATTCTCTAAACACAAGCAAGGATTTTGAACAACAAGCAGGTTTATCAAAAATTTCTAAATATATTGATGGAAAAAATCTAGAAGGTTTGAATGGTAAGAACGCAACAAGAGATATCTCTGGATATGTCAACACAACACATCACAATCATACCACAAGTTCAGACTCTGTTTCAACAAATAGTAGTAGGACATCAACTGATCAAATTCTACGACAAATAGATTCATCAAATGTTGACTCTGGTAGTGGAGTCGGTGGTGGACAAAACATGGATTCTAATTATAATAATGAAACAACAACAACTGATCCTGACATTATTAGATTAATTACACGAACAATGGTTGGTGATGATTTATGGAAATATTATAAACCTAATTTTGGTGGTGGAATTTTAGAAAAAAGGCACAAAAGATTTTTTTGGGTTCATCCTTATTCAAAAATTTTATACTGGAGTGTTAAAAACCCTGCTACTTTAAGTAGTCTGGATCCCAAATCAAGGAATGGATTATCTCATTTTGGTAAACATAATTTATTATTTTATAATATATAAATATATTTATTAATGAATATATTTTAACTATTATCTTAAATTATATTTATGCTTGACAATTATTATTATTAAGCTCATATCGTGTCAGTGAGTGAAGTACCAGACAATAATCCTTCACCTACTGGACTATATCATATGAGTTTAGTAGTTAAAACTCCTGATCGAGAAATAAAAATGACAGCACCAACAGAAGAAAAACATAATCTTTGGTATCAAGTAAGTCTGACTATTTCAGATATTTAGATTAATTATTAGTTATTTAATAAATTGTTATTTTTTCTAAAAAATAGGGATTGAGTTATTTATCACAAAGGAATGAAGACTCAGAACAACAAAATGGGCTAAAATCAGTTAACAATAATGGTAGTTATGGTAATTATAGTTCAAGATCAGTTCCAAATCCATGGGATAATCAGATCGACGTTAATAATGGTGCGTCATCATCTAATGAATCATCTAATCTTCGAGATTTGAAAAAGAGATCCAGCTTACAAAAACTTCAAGGAATCTTCAAAAAAGATGGGTCGTCATCGTTCTCATCATATCAGAATTCGCCACTTTCCAATGAGATGATCAGTAATTCTAGGAGTATTAATAGTAGCAATAATGAAGAATATTCTGCAATGCCAGGCTCATCTCATACAGATAATATGTCAATGGATGACGATGATGATGGTGAAAATTACGATGATTTGGAAAATGTAAGACAATGCTGTGATGGTAAACATGATGTTAGCAAATTGAATAAACCTCATAAGCATCATAAACAAGGAAGCAACCATCCTCATCGTCGTAGTCATTCCATATTTCAATAGTAATAATTTAATTATTTATTTACCGAATCGAAGTGAAAAAACATATATCTTTATCAATTATATTTTATATTTTATTTATTTTGAAAAATTTTACATTCACATATATACTTATTATATATTACACGCATGCATGTTTATTTAATCATTTAATTATACATTTTTATTTTCTATTATTTAAAGAACATTCATATATTTAAAATCAAAGGGGGATACTGTTATTTTTATTAATAAATAAAACCAAAAAAAAACAAGAGTTGATGCATATAAAGTATTAAAATAATTAATGTTCCTCAAAACTATATAAACAGATCAGCAGCTTATAATCTAATGTTCTATTAGAAAACAATAACGTTAAAAATGTTAAATGCCCAACATATTTTATAAATAACAGTGAATTTATAAGTTAAGGATCCACTATTATACAAAGCCACTATCCACTTGAATGTTAACTAAAAGAATACCTTTAATGTTGATGATTAACCATGCCTTTCAATCAATGAATTGGATTAAAATTAAAACTAGCAAATACTTGTAAAAAAACTCTACTCGGAATAAAAATTTTTATTTTGAAATTATTTGCGAAATTTATAAATATTTGTATTACTAATTATTATTATTATTATTATTATTATTATTATTATTTATAAGAAACTCCCTTTTTTCCCATGTCCAAATTTAGAACCTAAATTTGTTGCACTGCCTAAAAGTTCATTTCGTTTACGTGAATCCATAGGACGTCTACTCATTAAATCCTTCTCACGATCAAAAGGTCTTCTACTAACATCATCTTTTTCCCATTTTTTAGATTTTTTATAATTTTCTTGATGTTGTTCTAAAAGAGATTTAGGGCGATGATGTTCCTAAAATAAAAATTAATTTTTAATAAATCTCGTAAAGAAATCACTGCTACTATTTTACATACATTATATTCTTTGACTAATTCTGCTCGTTTCAAATCAATTTCAGTGTATTTCATTTCTTCATCTTCGTCTTTATCAGATGCACGTTTACGTTTTTGACCAGTTATTACCTAAAAAAATCCAATTAATTTGTTTTGAAAGTTAAAACCATTGTCGTTCACACACTAGAAAAAAACTACATTATACACTTACTTCTTTTTGTAATCTTTCTCTTCTTTCTGCTGGTGTTTCTGTCCAAAGAGAATTATCAGCTGAACTGGGATCTGTTGTTTTTTGTTTAAATTTTCTAGATTTCATACTGGTCGTAGAGCCTTAAATAAATTAAAATTTTAATTAATCTCTTTTCAAGAAAATAATAAATGCACTTTATTTTCCTTACCTCCCAAAAAATTTGAAGAAGGTGGAACCAGCATCCATTCACCACGCTCCAAAGATTTATCTGTTTTTTCTTTGGTATTTGACTATAATCTCAAATTTGTCAATATATAGTTATTTGCTTTGTGATCAATGAAAATAAAATTTTAATTATCATTAAAAATAACCTCGAGCTTCTGTCGCATTTTTTCTGCTCTTTCTTCGAATTCTTTAATTGTCGTTGATAAAGAACTACTATCATCATCCTGCTCTTTACCAAAAGATTTGGGTAAAACAGGCCCTATAATATCCTCCACCTCCTCTTCCACCTCCTCCTGCTCAGATTCGTACGAATCAAAGTCTTCTGTATACGGCAGCATTGCTGGTCCAATAATACGCTTTTTAGTAGGCGTATTAGGATCGATACTTTCTTATTTTTGTTTTAAATAAAATAGGCCAAATAGTAAGAGTTAAAAACATATCGAATATATATAATATTAGAAGATTATTTTACTAATAATACCTTTATAAGGAAGTCTTGGTCCTATTATAGTTTCATTTAAGTTTTTTTCATAAAGATTCTTATATTTAGCCATTGGAGATTCTAGAGCTGGTAGTTGAGGACTAGCTTCTGGTGATGAATCTTCTTCTTTACTGTTGCTATTATTTTGAAACTTTTCAAGTATTTGTTTAGGGATTTGTGGTCCGATTTCATTTGACATTTTTATTTGATTATTTGAATATTATTATTATTGATTTTGTTTACAAAAAGATTGTATCCAACCAAGGTTTCTATGGAATTAATTATAATTGCCATGGTGCCGCGAAAATCTTGACTAAAATTGTTCAACTCCCAGTTAAATTCAGGTCCCCGGAATAAGATGGATGTGATATTAATATAAAATTCAAAATTAAAGATTTATATTTGCTAAATGTCCATTTGATCAAATGGCGGCCGCTTTGTTTAAAAAAGGTCGGGGATAAAGATTCTGAAGCAGTTGGTGATTCATTAATTGAAAAATTGACGCTCATCGTAATAAACTCAAAAAGAATAAAAAAGAATTAGATCATGAAGAAAGAGAATCGAAAAATTACAATCGATGAATTTACACATTGGATTTGATAAATCTGTAAGTTCATAAATTTAATTATTATTTTTAAATTGTATCTTTTTATTTATTAATCTGTCAAAACCGAATCACCTGATTAAAAAGGAAAATCGAAAAATTTGTCTTGTTGAAATTTTAATCCAAAACGTTCAAATGAAACAATCAGATGATGATGCAAGTTTTTAATATTAGAAGAATAAGAGAAACTTATATTATGTTAATGATATTAATATTATTATATAATGGTGTACATAAGAAAAATCAACAATTAGGAGGAGGAAGGTGACATTGAGTTGCAGAACTTGCTAAACAATTTGCAGAAATAAAAGATTATAATGAAAGGTATACAGAAATTGTTACATATGAAATAACTGATCAAATTTTTGGCTGAAGCATTCCAAGCTCAATTAAAAGGAAATGCTAGATATGCTAGACAATATGCACGTCAAGAATGATTATTACAATATTGTCAAGGTTTAGGCAAAGGTGGTATTAGACTTTTCTTTGGAAGGTATATTTTAATAAAAAAATTTTTTTGATGTATATAATTATTTTTATGTAAATAAATAGACAAAATCCTCAAAAACGTGAGTTTTTATGAATGACGTTAATGAAACATACAACCATATAAAGGAACGTTATAAAATTATATAAGCAGAGGAACTACAACAATTCACTCGTCAAACGGAACAAATCCAAATTGGACCAAATTCTTGATGAAAATGAGCAAGTATAAAATTTTCACAGCATTACCAAAAGATCTTCAAGAAGTACTTAAAACAGGAGACATACCCTAGATGAATAAAGTTTTAGGAGAAACGTCAGTCGAAGAGTCAGAAAATTCCTTGGTGATGCTGATGTTTGTTAATTGAATAAGGAATTATTGATGGTACTAAAGATGCCCACTGCTGATAACAGAAATGGTATGATGGTAAATAAGAATAATTGAAATAACAATATGAAAAAAAAATTATTGGGATGAAATGAGAAATAGATTGATTAATGATTTTAATTTAGGGTTTTCTAAAAATGAATGTATTTGTATTATAATTCTTAATAAAAATTACTTTGTATGTTCACTATCAAATTTTTCAAAATTTGATCGATGTTACACTTGATTTGAAAGCAGAATTATTTATTTTTTTTATCAAAAAATAAAAAATGTCACAGATTAGAACAGAATTAATAACACCTGCTGTCAATTTTCTTAAAGATCCAAAGGTTCAAAGCTCTCCACTTCAAAAAAGAGTCGCTTTTTTGGAATCTAAAGGTTTAACTTCAGAAGAAATTGAAGAAGCCCTTAAACAAGCAAAAGCTGGCCAGTCAACTGATCTTGCACAAACTACAATTCCACAACAGCAAATAAACCCAACAGCTTTAATTCGACAACAACAACAACAACAACCATTGCCGCCACTAGTTAAAAGGATAGACTGGAGAGACTATTTTATTGCGGCTGTTCTAATTGGTGGCATAGGCTATGCAATAAAAGCCATATTTATGGTTAACAAATTTTCATAATATGCTGTTTAATAAAATTAATTTTTTATAATTACAAAATTCATAATAGTAATATTATTGACATATAATAATAACAGAAATATATATTGCCACTTTTCAAAACTCCAACGGCAAATGAACTTGAACGTGATAAACAATCACTTTCAGATCAATTTACAACCACTATGGAAAAATTAGAAGTAGTTAAGGCAGATGCACAATTAGTTAAGAATACTATTGATGAACAAGTGGTTAAAGTTAAAGGAACATTGGATAATCTTGACGATGTGTTGAAGAATTTACGTGAAAAGGATGATAAAAGAGATGTAGAAATTAAAAGATTAAAAGAATACGTAAATGAAATTAGAGAATTAGTTCCAAAGGTAATTTTTTTGAAGTAGTGGTTGAATAAATAAATAGAATAAGATGAACTAATGATACATATTTGTACTCATATATATATATATAAAACATTATAAATTAGTTATTTACGCAATCAAAAGAATCACAAAATCAATCACTTCTTGAGATAAATCAAGAACTCAAATCTTTAAAATCCTTAATACTTAATCGAAGAACCTCACAACCTATTGGATCACCTATAGTTGAATCATCACCATCATCATCAATAATTACAAACAATACTGCAACTCCTAATCCATCGTCAACAATTTCTTCACCAATCTCTTCATCTTTCCAAAAGATAACATCAGAACATCCATCAATTCCACCTTGGCAACTGGCTTCTAACAATTCATCTAATGATAACAATATGTAATCATATAGTCTGATTTACTATTTATTGATGTATGTGTCTAATTCTTAGTATGACCGGTTAAGTATATAAAAAATATTTTTTAAAAAATTTTTTCAAAAATGTTCGCACAAGTAATAAAATGTAATTTATATAATTTTAATAATGTCTCATAAATATATATCCTTCTTAGCTATATCTCATTTTTAATATCCTCAATATGTGTTGGGATAAAATCTCCCTATTGTAAAACAATATAAATTTACCTTGATTGTATCCAATTTTAACCCTATTTGTATATGATTTACATCACAATAGATTTAATAAAAAAAAATAAAAATCAATAGTTTAAACAAAAATGGTTATCTGAATATAAATGGTTCAAAAAGGTTTGTAATAGGATTATTTCTAATGTCTAATATGTGACATTATCAAAATTTTGATATTTAATTAGGTTCAAAAAATGTAAATAAAAAAAAAGGTCAGCAATAAAATTTAGATATTTTTATTTTTTAAATATAGGAATTTCCCAATTTTTTGACCGGAATTTTTGAATTCTAAACCGGCAAAATTTAATATTAAAAAAATAGCTCTTAGAGTTGGCACCCGTAATGTAAATTACAGTATTACGGTATTGCAACTAACCGTAATGTTGAATATTTGTTATACAAATAAAAAGTAGATCATGCATGATCCTTTACTTTTCTAATTATATATATCATTTCTTTTAACGAATATAATAATTAAAGATTACTGATAACAAAAATAAACTTGGTCCAAAATATAGTGATATTTTACATGTGGTAACCATCTTGGTAATGGACATTACCAAGTTACATGTAAGCCATGTTTGTCATTTTTTAAAGATGCCCGACCATATCTTTTACATTCTCATGTTTCTCAATGTCATATTGTTGTTCAGTTAATTTAGAAGAATCACGCATAAACCAATCAGTTATGATGTTTATTATGCATGTATTATCTTTCCGCCTTGTAGAAAATCCGTTTTTCATTAATTTTTTAAAAACATTAAATCTTGGATATCAACCACCTTCAAGAAAAGCGATAGACGAAAATGGAGATATGGTTGAAAGGGATCCACATGCTGATTTACAGCAATTAGATGATGAATAGATAAATGAATTCAAATTTCTTGTGCTTGTTTTGTTCTAATAATTACATTTTAATAAATATTAAATGTTTATAATAATAATAATGTTTTTAAATGCGGGACAATATGAATAGAAAATTGCTCTAACTACATGTGATTATGCTGCAACACTATGTATAGTACGGGTATGTTGCAACATTTGATATTTGATTACGGGATATAACAGGTCTCTAATTTTAATGTAATGTTAGAGATTTTCTCTAAAAAAATTATTTATATTAGATATTAATTAATGTTCGTGAGCGTTATGATCATTATTAAATTTAGATTAGTTTATGATAATCATTCTAAATTTGGAGGTAAGGACAATTGATTGATTAACAGTACGTATTTTATCACACTAAGTTCACGTGATCTCCATTTTTGGAATACTAAATTTTATTGGTTTTGAACGAATCACGAAATCGCTATTGAGATTTCGTGGCGCACTATTAGAAGGTCTTTAGACCGTGCCAATCATACAATTTTTTAGGTATTTTTACAATCATTAAATTTTACCATGGTTCTAAATTATAACACGTATTACTATTTTCCATGCAAATTTAGCACCTATATCTTTGAAAATGGAAGAGGAGTAGTGGTTTGAAATATATATGTGGTAGAAATTGGTTGATCGTTTGACTCAATCAGGTGACTTTTTGACTCAATTAATTGAGTCATATGAAAAACATATAAATAATTGAGTCGGACGCAATTGAAAATTGAGATTTTGGAATTAAGTCAAAGACAAATTAATTTTGACAACATGTATAGTTTGAAAACAGTATTAATATTATTAGTATTAGTATTAGTAAAGAAAATTTGTAATTTAATTTAGAGTAAAGATTTCTACTAATTGTATTACATTATATTACATTATATGTTTTTGTAATAAAAAAAATTTTTTTTGCAAGTGGAGAAAAGTTTGATTTTTTGAGAAGTTGTTATCGCTTTATGTGGAATTTGGTAAACAGTTTGTATTTTTCCTAACCAACTTTGTTTTAAAATCATATACTAAAGAAACCCTATAAAAAAAAATCTTTAGTAGTAAAAGTTAGACTATTAAGAATTCAGAGGATTGTTTTTTTATTTTTCATTGGCAGAATTGCATATTTTATATTGACAATTTTTTTCGCCGCAGAAGATCATCGTCGCACGTCCCCCCTTCACATTTCTTGACATGTGACACGATTGTATGTGACCATATTTAATATAACTTTTTTTTTTAATCTCAAGAAAAGAATGTCTAAACCTTATCTTAAACAAACGTAAGTTGCTTTAACATTGATTTTTATTCCAAAGAAAATTGAATTATTTAAATAATATTTTTTTGCTTTTGAAGAACAATAAAATCACCGATCATTTTTCGAAGGGTAGGTAACGTTAATTATTATAAAATTTTACTTGCAATTGAATTAAGCATCACAGCACTTGAATAATGTATATATGGTATAAATTGATTAGAAACAACGAGTTACGAACTTCAAAAAGTGCGAATATATCACAAATCGAGATAATCTTAGAGGTTAGTTATTTTATAATATAAAAATTTAAGCATAAAATAAATAAATGATCTAATTGAAAAATAACATCAATAGTAATAGGTGCTAAATATTTGAGGTGGCAAAAGGATCATGAAAAAACTAGGATCTCGCGAAATCTCATTACACTTAGTATATCCAGGCCAACACCACCCACTATCAATGATTTAAATACTGATATTCCGACGGCAAATATATATTACGTATGTATCTTGTATCTTATTGATCTGTTAAATTTAAGAAAAAAATTTTTCCAATGATTATTAACCTTAAAAAATTTTTTCTCTTTGTTATCCAAACAAAAAAATATTTAAGCCTATATCTCCAACCAATAATAATTTAGCACCGATAAATAATCATGACATCGACGACAATGATGATAATCATAAAATGTTCCTGGATGTAAATATTTATTTATATTTATTAATTTATAATTTTTATTCAATGGTTTAACATGTAAAAATTTTTTTCCCTCGTTCAAAAACAAAAATATTAAAGACTATATCTCAAACTGATGCCAATTATAACAGCAATACCAACAACAACAACAACAACAACAACAACAACAACAACAACAACAACAACAACAACAACAACCGCATCGATTCAATAGTACTTATTTATTTATTTATTTTTCATGAACATAAATATTCGTTTATTCGTTTTAAAAAAATTTACAAAACATTATTATTTACTAGTACTTTTATTCACCATTAACTGAAGATCAAGAAAAATTGGTAATTTTAAAAATTAGTTAATTTAAGTAATTGATATTTATATATATATATTAATGACATTGTATTTTTTATAAATATAATAAAATCATAGATTCAAAGTTATTCTGATTCAAACATACTTTATGATAAAGTCATTGAAAAATTCAACATGACAGTAACTTATCATGATATCAAAACTTTAAACCCCACGGTTTGGGTAAATGATCAAGTAAGCAACAATTATAATAGGGGGTTTTTCCTCGTCATCCAAATACTCATTTTTCTCGTGTGGCAATATTTGAATTTAGGTTATGAATTTTTACGGTAAGCTTATAGTTGATAGAAACTCAAAAAATAAAAATTTGCCTTCGTTATTTATACATAGCACACAATTCATGACCAAATACTCGAGCTGTGGTTACAAAGCGGTTTCTAAATGGACGAAAAAGGTAAGTCATTATTCAATTGGTAACTAGCTAATGTTTGTGTTTGGGTAGAATTATGGATCAATAATTACTTGATTATTTTTTTTAGGTTGATATTTTTGAAAAAGATTTATTATTTATACCGGTACATAGCAGAAATATGCACTGGTCTTTATGTCTAGTCGATTTTAAGGCTAGTAAGATATATTATATTGATTCGTTGTATCTTACAAGTGAAAAATATAAAGAAGATGTCAGATTAGTAATAAATGTAATTACATAATTACGCAAAGTATTCATGTTATTTGTTTACAATTTAATATTTATATAATTAATCTACCTACATATATGTTTCTCATATTTTTTAAGGACATAAAAGAATACTTAAAATACGAATGGGCGGACAAGAAACATACCTCTAGAAAATTTGACATGTTCCAATCAAATCTGAGTTTTATGGTATTTATTTGGTTTTTTATTTCGTTCTATTGCATTACTCAATAATCGTCGATCACGAATGTTATTTTATATAATAGGGGATTCCCCAGCAAAAGAACTCGTATGATTGTGGTATTTTTGCATTACTTTTTATCGAACATTATAGTAGACGAGCACCTCTACTATTTAATCAATTACATATACCATATTTTCGAAAAAAAATAATATATGAGATTGCGAATGGTAAATTATTACAATAACAGGATTATGACATGTGATTGATAACATTTGAAAATCAAATATTTTTAATTGAAGAATTGTTTCACAGAGAAAAATCCATTACGGAATAAGATTTAATTATTTGGATTCAATAATTGATTTATTTCTCTTCAAATGCAAAGTCAATTAAACAAATATATAATTAAAAATTATCTGGGGAAAGGAGAAACTATTTTGCTTAATAGAGATAGAAATTTCTTTTTATTTAGAAGGTTATTCTTTGCTAATTAATATTTGCAGTGATACTACAAGGGGTCAGTGTAACGTATGAGTTTTCATGGTCCAAAAAAAAAAAATTACGAAATTATTCATACCACTATTTTAAAAAAACGTAGACCAAAATAAAGTTTTAAAAGTAACATAGTAACTAAACCTTGACTTTATAACAAAATAAACAGATACAAAGCCATATTATTTACAGGTAAAGTTTGATTAAATGACACTCAGTTTTGGTTGAAATAAACCCATAATGGGCAACTTTTTTATGAAAGCGAATACATAAATGTTAGTAATTAACATCCAAAGAAGCTTATATTTTTATGAAACCTTGAGGTTTTTATTACATACTTGAGTCATGTGAACGAAATTTGACCTCATGCTGATCGCCTAAGATATAGGTGACTATTAGCGAACATTTTCGTTAATAAATTTCCTAAATAATTAAAATCTTAAATCTCAGAAAGAAAGCCTGAACAACCAAAAAATCATATTAATAATTAATATTAAGAGGGACGAAAGACAAAATGTTATGGTGTTTAAAGTTCATTTCTTCTATGGTCGAACATGTTCTATATGTATTTTCTGATGTTTTGTTTCTCTATAGTGAGACTTTAAATATCAATTTTTTTTTAACGAGATTCTCTATCTATATATATTAATAATATTTTTATGTACAATTTAAATTTAGATTTCTATACATTGTAAATATGCATGTTATTTAATACGCTGCATTACATTTGATTTGTTTATTTTTTTTTTTCCAAATCCTTTCTCTCACTAAATATAATAGATAATTTAACATTATCTTTTTCCTTCCATTAAAATCCAAAAAAACATTTACACATTCACTTATCACTTTTATCACTTCTCCTCGGCTAATCTGTTAATTAAAAATTCATTCTTTTTTACTTTATTTTTTTTCTCTAAATAAAATCCATCAATATTATAATGGCAACATTTGGTGACTTTAATAAAATTTGCCAGGAAATCGCACTTACTCTATGTCCTCTCGTTGGCGCTGAACAAGGCATAGAACCAACATGTTATTCAAGAAATATTGAAATAGCGGGAACATTGATTTTTCAACCAGGTAAATATATAATATCATAACGTCGCGTGATATTACGAACATAAAATACAAAATATAAATATATTTTATTCATTTTCTAGCTACAATCATTGTACATATAACTGCTCTTTTCATGACGACCATTATGATTTATCATATAAAATCAAAATACACTGCAGTTGGTTGGTAATTTCCTTTCTTCAATATGTTTTTTTTTTACAATAATATTGATTTACTTATTAATTTATAATTTAGGTCGTAAGGAAATGGTAATGTTCTTTTATTTGTATATGATGGTCACTTTTCTAGAATTACTACTTACTTCTGGCATTCTTCCTACCTCATCCGAAGTTTATCCTGTAAGTTAGCTATATACTCTTTTTTTGTGGATTTATTTTTGTCAGTTAATAATCTTTTTCTCCTAAAAATCCTTCCATGTTTTTAGTATTTCACTGCTGTACATATTGGACTTATCACAACAACATTTTGGTGTTTATTATTCAATGGGTTCATAGGATTTCAATTTATTGAAGATGGCACGCCATTATCGCTTTGGGTAAGTGTTTACTTTGTTTTTTTTTTGTTTCTAATAATAAAATTATTATTATATCTTTAAATTTTAATTCTCGAATAAAAATTTTTTTTCAAAAAGACACTTCGTCTTTCATCACTATTTGTTTTTGGAGCTGTCACCTTTTTATCTGTTGCAACATTTTTATCAAAAGCAGGATTAAACCCATTACGACCCTTTATCTTATGGATTATATTATATGTATTTAATGGTGCAGCACTTGTGATCTATATTGTTCTTCAAATTGTGCTAGTATTCAAAACTCTTGAAGATCTTTGGCCACTTGGTGATATTTTATTTGGAATGTCATTCTACGCAATTGGTCAAGTTACTCTTTACTTGTTCTCAGTCCGCGTTTGTGATTTTGCCAAACATTACCTTGATGGATTATTCTTTGGAACAGCTTCTACATTGTTGGCTGTTATGATGGTTTACAAATATTGGGATTCCGTCACCAAAGAAGATCTTGAATTTTCTGTTGGTAATAAACTACATGAGTGGAAAGTTAAAGAATTAAATGACGACGATGAAATCCCATATACAAGTGCTCCTGGTTACTCAAACCCTCAACAACAATATTATGAAGAGGGGCTTTTAAAATAAATAAAAAATAGAAATTTTTATTTTTCAAAAAAAAAAAAAAGAGACATTATAGATTACAAAAATTCCTAGACTATTTAATTACACATATTTGATAATAATAGATAATTCTAAATAATAATAGATTAAGTTTTTTTGAGTGTATTATTGAATTTTAAAATATGTAAAAATAAATACTTGGTAAATTAACCTTTTCAGATTAGAATCTATAATTTAAAAATCCTAGATCTTGATATTTTTTTAATAAATCTTCATCTAGTCCATCTTTTCCATTGACACTTGATGTTTTTTTTAATATAAGATTAAAAGGCATAGACCCTTTCCAATTATTCATTAGAACATTTAAAGAGCTATCATCAGTAATAGAAACATGATATTTGAATTGTATGGTATTCAAGTTTTTTGGAGAAGATTGATTTAAAATTGCAAATATTTTATCACCATCTATTATATTTTTATATCCAAAAGCCTTGTTGATTTTAATGATTTTTAAATTGATACAGTTATTGAGTAGTTCTATTAGTTGTGCATCCAATTCATTCTTGTAAAATACTGATAAACGTTCCAAATTTTTACAATATTGTCCAATTGATTGAATCACTGCTCCCAAAAATTCTTCATCTATTGGCTTACCACCAATTTTTAATATTCTAAGATTTTTTCCATTGATTTTAATGAAATTTGACAAGTCCAGTAAAAATGGCTGATATCTAAGATCTAAATGGATTTCTTGAATATTTGGAAGTAAAGCTGACCTTAAACTTTTTACTTTAGTGTTTAACGCATTTCCATTAAAATTAGTTACATGTCTATTAAAATTAGTTAACTTTAATATTTTTAAATTATTGAAAGTTGGTATCAGAGAATCAAAATTACTATCTACATGACTTTCATAAATAATTATTGACTCTGAATGGATTGAAATTGCTTCTTTGAAATTGGTTAGCTTTTTCAGTGATGTAACAGCTAATCTTTTAATTTGATTTTGTGCTTTAATCAATTTAATTAAACTGTGTTCTGCATTAATATCATGTGAAGTAAAAACAACATTACTTCTTATTTTTAAAATTTGAATATTTTTGCATACTTTTGTTAATTGATCAAGAAATTTAGAATTATATAATAAATCACAACTTAGTTCATGAAGATTCCGAAAACAAATATTAAATCTATGATGACAAATTATCCATTCACAATCTAATCTAAGTATCTTAAGTTTTCTGATAGCTGTTGAATGATCTAAAATAAAATTTACTAAATGATACCTATACCATCTCTCTTTATTAATCTTAAAGCTTTGCAATAAATCTAATTCAGTAGCATACTTGGCATAATTGAGCATCGGTGGTTTATCCAATAATTGAGGTTGGACGTCAATTTCCGCCAAGAAATCTTTGTATTTTGTTAATAAACAATTAATTATTACCTTTATGCTGTTTTCAGAGTAAAATGGATTTCTCCATAAAATTGGAATGTTAATATTGTGCCAATTTTTATTGACTAAAATGCAGGAATACAATGTTTTATAATCATTTTCAATGCATTTGAATATTTCAGTTAAAAGTTCGAGTGGCAAAGGCGGTGCAAGCATTGTGGTTGCTTTTTAAAAAAAGTAAATCTTTTGAAGTAAAAATACGGATTAATGTTGCACATGAAAATTATATTGACAATCTGCGCCACATTCTTGTATTGTTGCATAAAATTTTTATTTTTTACATAAATATATTTTTTATGTAACCTTAATTTTTTTATTAATCCTATAATAAAAAAAATTTTCATAACAAAAAATTTTTGATTTCATAAAAATCATAAAAATGAGCTAATGTATCTCTTTGCTTATCATCATTGTAGTCTAGTCTCTGCATTATATCATCATCACTGTCAATATCTTAATCTACCTATTTTACATAAATCAACCTTCTTTTTTTGAATGTTTACAATTATAACACAATATTAATTATAATGAATATAATATTTAGAAAAAATTAATCTTTTAAGAAACATATGATAAGACAAGAAGGCGAAGAAATAAATCCATTTGTTTAGTCCACCTTGTTGACATTGAAATCAATAATTACGATGATGATAAAAATCTACCATGTTTTTTCTCTCTGATCATTTCCAACACATGTGACATGCCCTTTCGACTCTTTTAATATTATTATGAACAGCAAACATTAATATTAATAGTAATAATAACAAAAACACCATCACTGCTACAATTAGCAGTAGAAACAACACAAGTTATATATATTTACCTTTGTAGTGTTATCTGAAAATTTCTTAATTCCAAAACCTTCAAGTCGTTCAGTCAATCCCCAACCAAAATTACTAACAACTCTAGCTTCAATTGTGACTTGAGTGTGTTCAGGATTATTTGGATCAACCCGAAAAGTTTGACGTTCTTCCACTTTCATAACTCTATCGTGTGTTATATTTGTTGTTGATGTCGTCATTGTTTGTGTTTTTGGATCAACCATGGATCGTTCAATAATATAAGCTTCAGAGCTTTTAAAAAACTTTATGTTGTTTAATACATATAAGCATAGTGTAAACATATAAACATATTTTATTTATTTATTTCTATCATCTTTGTTATTATAATCACTAAATTACTAACCCCCATTCCCCATTTTGGTACAATGCCACGTTTCAAAATCAACCTTGTGGTTCTTAATGCGCCATTACTTGGATCAACATATCTATCAATTACATCCACACTTTCAACGTGAGAAGCAAATGGATTTGGATATCGCAACCAAAATGCCAAGGTTACATTATCCCATGGATATCTACATGTGAAAAAAATGGTTGTTGCTAAACGTTTAGTTGGATGTTGATACTATCGTGGTTTTATTTTTTTTGATCAAAATATAACGCTGTATTTTATTTTTATAATTATTTAATAATAATTATGATAATAATAAAATAACTTACTCGTATCTAAAAGTGTGTTGAAAAAATTTAACCATTATTTATTATTAATTAAAAAAATTTTTTACGAGAGAAAAAAAAAACTAATTTATATATAAATTTGTAAAATAGATGGGAAGAATTTTTGTGCAAATTAAATTTTGATTAGTAGATTTAAATGTTGGAAATTGTGTTACATATTAAACAAATATGATTAGATTAATTACGTCATCGTCAAATTACAACTTTTTGAGCATCCATTATGTAATTTTTATTAGAAATTTGAATATTCTTTTTATTTATTATGTTACTCTAGTTTATATATAAAGATTGGTGGTTATTGCAATCGTTGCCACTGGTCATCCATCACTCTAGTTATTTATAAACTTTTTTTTTATTATATTTTTTTGAATTTTGAAAGCATCAAACAGGTCTGTGAGCATGGAGATATTGATGAGGTAGAAGATGCAATGGTAATAAACTTAAAAGGCATAGTTGACTCTTTAAAAAATATAATTGGAAGTAAATCAGCTGTAAGGATACCAGCTGTTTTACTTTTGATGATGGTTGCTACCACCTTTGCATCATATAAAAACGTTTGTTTCCTTTTTTGGGTTGCGGCATGGAACACTAATCAGCTGCTGTTCAAGTAGAAGAAGAAAGACAAAGCGAATCAAACAATCATGAACAATCAATCACTGCACCAAATGAAAATCTAGAGTTGATCATGATAGAAAAACAAGATTCATCTCCTACAATAGCATTAGATGAAAACAGTAACCATAACACTTCCACATTAGAAATTACATCAGAAGATCAAATACCTATGTCCATGAAATCATCAAATAGTTAATCACCTAAACCTAGTGATATAGAAGAAGACAGTTATTTACCTTTGATCAATAATGATGATGGTATTGATATTTTTTTCAGTTAACAAATAATAATTTTAAAAATTTTTTTTTAAAATAATTACTTTACTGATTCTAAATAATAATAATAATTTAATAAGAAATTTTCTCAGGGTTTGATGGCACATTTGTACTTGAACCTTTGTTTGCATCATCATTGGCCAAACCAACTTCTATTCTATCAACATTGGAAAAACCAACATCCTTTGGTAATATTCCTATCACAATACCTGTTCAATATGAAATCAATAAAGAAGATGATATTATAAGTAGAAATGTAATTAATGAAGTATTAGTAGAAGAAGAGATGGAGGAATATGAGGAGGAAATTTTTACCACTAAACATTTATCAGATCCTAATGAAAGGAAAAGAACAATTTATTCAACAAATAACAATCAAGAAGAAAGTTCATTTGAAGATGATGACAATCAAGTAATTATAATAACAATAATAACAACAAGTCTTATTATTTCTTATAAATGAATATTTATGGATTAATTAATAATATTTTTGTATTTTGTTATTTTTTTTAAGATCATATCAGAAACAAGAAAGTGTCACACATCAAATGTTAATAAAATTGAAGATGGCAATGTTGTAAGAAAAGCAAAGAAAAGGAGTTATTCAAAACTTGGAAATCCTACAGTAGAAATTAAAATGATTCATAACTTTGTTAATGAAACGATTGATGAATTTTGTAAGTTGATTGTTGAGTAAAATATTTGTTTTGTAAAAAATATTTATTAATACATTTTTTTTAAAAATTAGAGATGAATTGGAAAAAGATTCATGCAAAAATTACATTGAAAATTTCAAAATGTTAATAATTATATATTTTTCATATTTTTGATTTTATTTTATTTTGTAAATTATAAATACCATTAGGTTGAAATTATTCAGAACCAGTTGAGTTTACATGAATTCTTTAATCAAAAATCAACACAAATGAAAAAAGTAAAGGATGATTTATTAGAAGTTAAACAAAAACATGAAATTATTAGTAAAAACATGAGCAAAGAGAGAGAATTATTTAAGAAAGAAGAAGACTTATTTTTCAATAATAATTATTTATACTAATACTTTATATCTTGCCACTTACATAAATATTTCATTCTTCTTTTTATAGAAATTGGAAGGATTGCATAGTTTTCTTTCTAATATTGAATTTTTAAGAGAATCTGTTGCACTAGGAGATGTTTCTGACAAATAATATAATAATCATCAACAAAACCTGGTATTTAAAATTCATGCAACATTCAGTTAATAAATAATATTTAATATCACAAAAAAGCTCTAATCTCTTATTTTTTCAATTTAGAATGAAATTTCAGGACTTATTATCAGCATTACATCTTGTACTGGTGATTTAATATCAAACCATAGTAGTGAAGAAGGTGCTTTTAGCATTATAAAAAGATATAATAAGTTATTGGAAACTTGCCAAGAAATATTGGAAAAAGAATGCTAAAAGATAAAGATATATATATATTAGCATTATCATTAATTTCTTTCTTTTGTATTAAAAAAAAATAATTTTATTTGAAAATCATAAACATTTGATTAATGTCAATAATACCAATACCAATACTACATATGGGGATTGCGCCAGCACGGTGGAAATTTGATTTTATTGGATAATAAAATGTGACAAAATAAAATTTAGGTTTTTACCAAAATTAGAAACTTTTAGGGGAAATCAAGATTTATATGGAATGTACGGTGCAGATCATCTATAATCATTAATTGCTTATAGTAACAATTGGTCAACTTCAAAATACTAAAACAAAAAAAA